GAACATAGGGGTGCATATATTCTTTCAAATTAGTGTTTTGGATCTCTTTGGATATATTCCCAGAAGTGGAATTGCTGGATCATATGCCTTTTCGGTTTTTGATACATCATTCCATTATGCATCTTTTTTTCTTGACCACGTCTTAGAAGTTCTTCCATGTCTTGCCCTGACCAGTTTGGCTCAGCGGTTAGAGCATCAGCCTGCGGTCCAGAGAGACCCGGATTCAGTTCCTGCTAAGGGCACATACCTCGGTTACAGTTTGTCCCTGGCCCTGGTTGGGTCATGTGGGTGGCGGCCACTCGATGTGTCCCTTTTACGTCGATGTTTTTTTCTCTCTCTCTCTTCCTTTCTCTATCTGAACAAAAAATGAAAAAATGTCCTCAGGTGAGGACTAAAAAAAAGAGAAGTGTTTCCATGTCTATACATCTAATGCATTGTTGTCCTTTTATACAACTGTGTAGTTATCATGGCATGTCTGTGCCATGTACTTATCCAGCTCCCTCCGAAGGACAGGTGGGTGTTTACAGATATTCAGGTCTGACTTCAAACCCATACCAGTCTGACTTGGAGCCCTGTGTCAACCCTCTGCTGTTTGCCACCTGGGGAGTCAGACCGAGAGGAGTAAGGACTCGCCTGGGTCTCACAGAACAGAGCCAGCAGCAGATTGGGTGCAGAGGGTCAGGGCTCCTGGACAGAGGGTCCAGGAGCTGTTAACCCTCCCTGTGCCTCTCTCTTCAGAGGCAACCATGCCACGGTAGGGATCAGTGGGCAGCTTGAAGGACTGACCCAGGACCTCCAGCAACTGCAGGAGAACGAGCGGCAGCTAGACCACCTGATCCATGTCTGTACCACTCAACTTCGGCTGCTCTCTGAGGATGCTGACAGCCAACGATATCCTTGGACTGTGGAGGGCAGGCCTGGTGGGCTGGGCCCCACCCAAGTGAGACTAGAGAGGCTATCCCAGGCCCTGAATTCAGAAGAGGGCTTTGGCTTTACCTGCAAGTCCTGGCCCACCATTTACTCACTGATGCTGAACAAGTTATTTAACACTCTGAGTCTCAGCTTCATTTACAAAAGGGGGGGAAATCCAGTTCCAAAATTGCTAAATTAAAACAAGAAAAGCTAGTAACAGCAATAACAAACTTTTTTTTTTTCTTTATTGATATGGGAGAGGGAGAGATAGAAACATCAATGAGAGAGAACATCGATTGGCCGCCTCCTGCATGTCCCCACTGGAGACCAGGCCCACAATTTGGGCATGTGCCCTGACCAGGAATCAAACTGGTGACTTCTTGGTGCATAGGTCGATGCTCAACCACTGAGCCATACTGGCTGGGCAATAACAAACACTTAGTACAGTGATTCAGTACATGATTGTAGCTTCAGCGTTAGAGATACAAGTTTTTATCATTCACAAAAATAGAAACTTTATTTTAAAATAAGATTTTTTTTTTGAGTACCCAAATTATGTTTAGAAATTTTGGAGATAACCACTAATTGACACCAAGAGCATAAGTCAGAATAAATTCTCAGCACCAGGCCTTACTGCAGGCAGCCATCATTACCTTGAGATTAGATGGGTAGAATGCACGCATACAGATGTGGAAATTGAGGCCCTGGTCAGTTGCTCAGTGGTTAGAGCATCGGCCTGCAGACCAGTAAATAGAGGTGGAAATTGAAGCTCAGGGGCATGAGACAGGCTTGAGCACAAACTGTTGTCAGGTGAAGGATGGAGGGGAGGGGACAGGAGTGACTAAGCAAATGTGGGCTCTGCTTTAGCTATCTTGAATGAGTGGCTTCCAGAAGTCAAAGGTCACGTGGCTCTTAACTCCACCAACCCTGGCCTACGTGACTTGCCAGGACCTTCGTAGCATTGCAGACCCTGCAGAGCAGATGGTCATGGTGATCAAGGCCCCTCCTGAGACCCAGCTTCAAGCCGTGGACTCCTCAGAGGTGAGATGTGGGACCCCCAAGCCCCACCAGAATAGGCTAGGCTGGCATAGTGGTCAGCTGAGCCTCAGTTTACCCTGCCTGCCACCTCCACCCAGACCTTTCAGATCTCCCTTAAGAGCAAACAAGGCCCCATCGATGTTTTCCTGTGTCCTGAGGAGAGTGCAGGCGGGATCAGCCCCGGGAAGACCCTGTCCCAGGGAGCAGCTTCTGGGGAGGAGGAGAGGGCAGCTGATCCTACCACCACAGTGCCATCATCATCATCATCTCCCCCCTCAACCCCCTACACGGATCCTAGCCAGCCCCTGCTCAGCCTGGAGCAAGGTGGGTGAAGGGGGTGGGGTGGGGGAATGAGTGAAGGGGGGTGGGTGGGCATGATAGCCCCCTCTGCCTTCCCTGCCGGGGCATCCCCGGCCTGTGATGCTCCCCCATCTCCCCAGAACCTCTGCTTTCCCGGATGGGTGGCCTGCGGGCCCCCATGGACGAGGACCACCTGTCTCCGCTGGTGGCCGCCGACTCACTCCTGGAGCATGTGCGGGAGGACTTCTCCAGCCTCCTCCCTGAGGAGTTCATCAGCCTGTCTCCCCCCCACGGGGCCCTTGACTACCACTTTGGCCTTGAGGAGGGCGAGGGCATCAGAGACCTCTTCGACTGTGACTTTGGGGACTTCACCCCCCTGGATTTCTGACAGGGCTTACGGGGACCAGGGCCTCCTAAGGTGCCCACCCTATCTCTACAGTCCTGGAGCCCCCTCCTCTGGCAATTCTCCCAGCCTGATTAGAAATGTTTAATTTATACCCCTTTTTCCTATCTCCAGAAGCTTCTTGCTCTGGAGCCTGGCTACTGCCAAAAGGCTAAGCAAGCCAGGAAGGGAAGGATTCTGTTTGTGGTGTGTATGTGCATGTACCCAGCATCCAACATGTGTGTATACAGGGTGAGTGGTGTGTGAGCATGTGTGTGTGCATGTACCGGGGAATGAAGGTGAACACGTCTGTGCGTGTACTGAACATGCCCTAGTGTGTCCACGTATGTGTGCATGAGTCCATGTGTGCGTGTGGTGGGGGCTCTAACTGCACTTTTGGTCTCCTTGCTCCAGGGGCCCCACAAGGCCCAGGGTGGCCACCTGCCCCCAGAATCCTGTGTGCTGACCAGGCCAAGTGGTGAGGCTTTGGCCTGCTTGTTTGCAGGACAGCGAGAGCACTTCTGTCGTCTTAAAGGTTTTTCTGATTGAAGCTTTAATGGAGCGTTATTTATTTATCAAGGTCTCTTTGGCAAGCTTGGGGCACCAGCAAAGGGTAGGAGGGATGTGGAGCTGATGTCTCAACTCCCTATACCTCTGAATGAGGGCAGGGGTCCCTGAGCTGTTCTTTGCCCCACTCTGAAGGAGCTGAGGCCTGAGCGGTTTTATTTATTGGGAGAGTGAGGGAGGGAGGGAGACTGACTGACTGACAGCCATGGGAGGATCAAGGAAGTGGACCCTCCCCAGGGGGTCAAAACAGGGCTCCAGCTGCCCCCTAGGATGGATGTGAGATGGGAGAGGTGAGTGGGGTACCTTCACTGACAGGGTGGGCAGGAGGGGTGGCTGAAGGGCCTTCTGTGGCATTTGAAGTGTCCCCCTCCACCTCACTTCTTGCTGTGCCCCATCCTCCAATGTGCACTTTGATTTGCCTTCCTAACAGCTCTGTTCCCTCCTGCTTTGGTTTTAATAAATGTTTTGATGGTGTTTGGACCAGGTTTTGGTACTGTGTACTGGGAGCAAATCTGGGGGTGGGAAAGGTCAAGATTGCTGGGAAAAGGTCTATTCTCTACTTCACTCTCCCTGTCCCTACTTGGTTTTATTTCATTTGAGCTTCACAGCCCCAATAAAGGTGGGCTTCATCACCCTTCTGTCCTACACTGATCCAATGAAGTAGTAGTGGGAACTGTCCTCCTTTCTCCAGCCCCGGTGAGTCTACTCTGCTATGTTCCTTCCAGATGTAAAGATGCAACAAATAATTACAACTGGTCAGTTCTGTGTCAGGATCTTTCAGGTTCTGGGGACACTTGTTCCTCCCCTATGAGGCTCTCAGGATCTGTTGGAGGACACTCACCCAAAAGCAGGGAGGACTTCCTGAAAGTGCTTGCTTGAGCTGAGAGCTATTAACTGAGGAGGAAAACATGAACACACCAAGGCAACAGGAGGGAGCAGGGCATAGAACCTGATGTGTGGCTGGAGTCCTGGGAAGAGGGCCTGAGTGGAGAGTTCAGTTGGGCTTTCTTCAGGGCACAAGGACTCACTGATGAGCCTAGAGAGTGGCGTCTTGTTTTAAATTTTAAATGTGTGAAGGAAAGATTGAAGAGGGGGCCAGAATGGCAGAGGGGAGGGTGGACTGGGAGGTTGTCCACGCAGACCTGTTTAACAAACCCTTAGGTGGGCTTTGAGCCAGTCCCTATTTTAAGCCCTTTATAGTCAGTGAATCCTATTGCCCCCATTTTGTGAAGAGGATACAGATGCTCAGTTGAAATTATTTGGGGGTTCAACCCATAACTTGTCACAGTACTGGGCTGGAGTTTGCTGACCCTATAATGGTGTGGGACCTATCCTTGAGCATGTGCATCTCCTCGTGTTCCGTTCCTGGCTGTGTAGTATTCCTAAACTGACAAGTCATTTTCTCGGCCAGTCCCCCGGTGGAAAAGACTTCCTGCGTGGTTCCTTACTTCGCGGTGGCCACCCCTCCAGGAGCTGAGCCTCTGATGGCAGAACCTCGAAGGTGAATGGTGTTGGGCGCCTCCATTGTGTAGCTCTTTCTAACCTGGAGGCTGGAGTTTGGTCCCCTTTTCCAGACTGTGAAATAAGCCCTGGAGGGGACTGCAGAGGACTCCTGGGGCGGGTGGGGCGGGGCTTCAGCCGCCAGTCTGGGCAGTGGGCGGAGCTGCGGGGGCAGGGCCCTGGGCTTCTGCGCCGGCGCCAATTGGCGGGCCCCCATCCCAGTCTCTCCAGTCCCTGGCGGCAGCCGTGGCGTCCGGAGCCCGGAGCCTCAGCCCTGCTGGAGCCGAGCGGGTAGCACGCCATGGCGTGCGCGGGGCTGCTCACTGTGTGCCTGATCCGGCAGCCCACGCCCCAGCCCCCACTGTCCCCCACGCCAGCCACTGGTTCCGCCGGACACGCGCTCTTCCAGGATGTGAGTGGGGAGCCGGGAGGGGGCGTCGGCTCCTGGGGTTTGGCAGTGTCTCCCCAGGTCTTATGTCTCCCTGTGTCTCTGTCTCTCCTTGCTCCTGCCTCTGTGTCTTTCACTGTCTCTCTGGCAGTGTGTCTCCCTCCAGGTCTGGGGACTGCTTGTCTTTGGGTTTCTGTCTTTCTCGTTCTCTGATCCTACTGTCCCTGTTTCCATGTCTCTCTTTTTTATCTCCTCGCCTTTGTGTCCCGTTCTCTGTCTCCTTTCTCATCTCCTTGTCTCTGATTCAGTGTCACTGCCCCTGTGATCCCCAACCCCGAACCCACTCGGTCTGTGTGTCTGGTGGGGTGTAGGCTATCAACAATGGATCGCTGGAGCAGTTGCAGTACTCCTCTAAGGCAGCCCCTGGATTGGCTGACCCAGCCAGGAAGTCTGGAAGAATAAGACCCAATGGTAACCCAGAGTTCCTTAGACCTGACCCAGGGGCTGTGGGGTCCCACAGTTGGTCAGGGCTCCCCAAAATCATCCTCTGTGTTCTGTACACTCCTGTTGTGGGTGGCACGTGGCCTGCAGCCCCATGGGCACCAGCGTGAAGCAGCATGGCCTGGCCTTAGTCACTTCCCCGAGCCCCTTTCCCACTTTTCACCCCAGTGCCTGGTCCTGACTTGGCCCTCTCATGCTCCCACTACTAAAGGCTTCTGCCTGTGGGAAAGGCTGTACTCCTGTCCCCTCCCCACTGCCTCTAGTGACTCAGCACCTTGACCACAGTCTTCCTGGCTGGAAGGGACCTGATCCTTCCATTTCCCATATGGAAGAAATAAGGCCTGAGGGGTTAGGGGTATGTCCAAAATCACCCAATGGAGACAGAGACATGCTAGAGTGTGGCCCCAGGTGTCCTCATTCCCAGCTTGGCACCCCTATCCCCTCTTCCCCCAGTATCTCCATCTGCCCCTGCCAGACCACACCAGGCTACTATGTGACCTCAAGCTAATGGCAGACCTTCTCTGAGCCAGGCTTCTGGCTAGTAGTTAGATTCATCCTTGAGTCTCACCTATATTGAGAAAACAGCTGGAATGGAGTGGCATTCAGAACCTGGAGCTGATAGGGGCTCTCTGTCCAGGCTTTGGCCTGCCCCTCCTTGCCAGGCTGCTGGTCCCCTTTGCTGGGCTGCTTTGGGTGACCTGGGAGTCTCTGGTCCCTGGGAGAGGCAGCACCACATCTTGACTCTGCACCTCTCTGTTTACCTGCCTGTGTTGCTTTTCATTTTTGCTTCTCTATAAATACAGTTCATCCACCCTTGCTTTCTGCCACCCTCACTCCCCACTGCATGCATGCAAGTACACACACACACACACACACACACTGAGTCAGCTTCGTAGGAAGCCCCAGTACAGGAAGGGTTAACCCCAGCCTGCTCTCCCATGTCCAAGGGTGAAAACTGAGGCACCCACAAAGGAAGGACAAGCACACAAGGAAACAGCTTAGAGCAGGCAGAGTCTGGGATGGGCCATGGCCACACAGCAGAGTTGGGGTTTCAGGTCTGGGATGGGTGCCCACGATTCTCAGGCTGCATCTTGGTGCATCTCCCCAACATCCCCAAGCTGGGACTGTGCCAAGGGCTGATGCATCAGACAGAAATCAGGATAGACTCAGTGTGGGAGTTGGGGGTGCAGGGAGCTGGCCTGGAGCACCCCCCATTAGGCCAAGCCCCACAGGAGAAGCGAGCACACAGTTGGACCTGCTGTGTGCTCTTCCTCTGCCCCCCTCACTGGAAAAGCTCCTGCAGGGCTGAGCTGGGCAGGGAGTTGGGACCAGGTTGGGCAGGAGGAAAGGCTAGGCAGGGGGCCAGCTGGCCAGCTGGAGCCCTGTCAGGATGGGCAGGAGCCTTTTACCTCTCAGACCCCACTCACAGCTTGCTTCCATGCCCCTTTGTCCTCTAGGTTTTCCGCAGAGCAGACAAGAATGGTGAGTATTGGCTGGCTTCCCCTGGGCTTCACAGTGGGAGGAAAGACGAGGGACATCATGAAGCTTGGTGGGGTTTGAGGGGTCTGGGGGCACAATCTAGAATGAAGAAAAATCTTGGGGGACCCAAATCAAGAGAATCAATCAAGGCATCCTTCCTGGAAGAAGTGCTGTGAGCCAGGTTCAGCAGGATGGAGAATGGATGGAATGTGGTTTAGCCAGAGGCTGAAAGTAGAGACTTACTGTCACATAGTGCCCTGGCACAGTGGTAGGTACCTTCCTGTATATAACCTTGTGTTTTTCACCTCATCTCACAGACAAAGGAACAGGTCTTCAGAAAGGTAAAGCAGGTTGCCTGAGGTCACACAACCTTTAAGTATTGGACCTTAAACCTAGGCCTACATGATGCTTGGTCCCAGGCTCCCTGTGTGAGAGGCTGGGAAGTGTGGGCTAATAGAGATGAGGCCCTGTGGGGAATTTTACTCTTAGATTTTTAACGACCAACCATCTGGATCCAGGAAGGGCCTGGGCATGATAAAGCTGGCTCCAGGGAATCAGCTCCTTCTGCCCTGGATCCCAGGCATTCTCAGACCCTGGTTTGGGAAAACTTTGGAAGCTAAACAGGGGACCCTGCAAGCAGGTTACCGCCCGCCCGTAGATGACCCAGAACAGCATACTGTACCCTGATTGGCCAGTTGAGGATCTGAGCTGAGGCAGCCAGCCAGTCAGCCTTAACCTCACTTTGACCTGGGGTCTTCAGATCCTCTAATGTTTCAGTGTCTTTGAGATAGGATTATGTCCCCACCCTTTGGCCCTTCTCCTTGGGTCTCTTCAAATTGGTAGAGATCATTTGTTCCAACCCATTGATCAGGATGCAGTCTCAATTGGATCAGAGCATTCTGTCCGCTCCCCTTGCATAGAGACCTTACAGGCCAGATCACAGTGTCTTTAGCCACCCCACTCAAGTGCTCTCAGCTTTTGCTACATGCCCCCTGTGACAGAGAGGTCATTCCCTCTAGAGCCAGCCTGCTGCTTCTTACAGGGGCCCCAACCCTTGAGAAGGTATCAGCCTCCCTGTGGTTTCTCTGTGAAGGGTCTGGGTCCATAGCACAGGTTCTGTCCACCCTGAGGCCAGGATGGCTAGCATGAGGGCCAAGTCCTGCAAGTGATATCTAAGCCCTGCCATAATCTGGCTGTGTCTCAGGCTGTTGTTCATGTGTTTCTTCATTTGGCAAACATTGAGTCCCTACCCAGTGCCACATGTGTAATGCCCTGTCCCTTGGGTGCATGCAGAGTGGTCCCTGTTGCCTTAAGTGGGCATCTATGGGGGCTCTAGCCCTTTTGTCCCCAATAGCCAAGCCCCCCACCAAGCTCAGAATCCCATTCCACCTGACTGGGTGGGTGTGATATACTGTAAGGTCTTTGGTGGGCCTGGACCTAGTGGCAGGGGTGCAGCGAGGGGTCAGAGATACTGACTCTGCTCCCTGTCCACTCTCCAGATGATGGTAAGCTCTCTTTTGAGGAATTCCAGAATTACTTTGCCGATGGGGTTCTCAGCCCTGGGGAACTGCGGGAACTGTTCAGCGGCATTGATGGGCATTCCACCGAGTGAGTACAAGGGGAGATGGAAGAGCTGTGGGTAGATGTGAGGCCAGGTTGTCCCAACCCCACTGTGTCCCTTGCTGCTTTGATTCCTTATAGAAGACAGAGGACAGGAACAGGGGGAGGTAGGAGGAGGGGTGTTAGGGCTCAGTGCCAAGTTTTACCCGCCCACTCACTGCCTCCCTGGCTCCAGCTTTGCCCATCACACTGCTTCCAACTGGGACCCTAAAATAGCCAGGTCTGAGTCACCACCCATGGTTCAGCCTACAGGTGTCCCCCTATTCCTACTTCCTGCAGGGACCTCAGGATGCCTGGGGACAGCTGGCCCCACCTGCTTCCACTCATGGATGCAGGTGCATGAACACGCATTCACCTCCCCACATGTGCTCCCACATATACAGGCCTTCGCATGAGTTTGCATGCTCTCCTCCCCATTCTTCCTCACATGGGTACAACACGTACACACCTGTCCCTCCCTCTCACTTCCCTCACTCCCTCTCACTTCCCTTCCTCCCTGTTCTTCTTAGAATAAATCTGAGGCTTTGGGTCGACATTCAATGCTCCAGTGACCCCCCACCCCCCATTCTGAAGCCTGGGCTGGACCCTTTGTCTGCGCCTCCCCCTGGCCAGATACTCAAGTCAAATTCCTTGTCCTTCAAGGTCTGACATAGGTAGCCCATCCTCCAGGAAGCCCTCCCTGACCTACCAAGTAATACCCCACCCATGCCTTCTCAGTACTTTCCAAACCCTGGCTTCCCCTTCCCAGCTCTGACTACTCCTTTTTGGCCTGTGTCCACATCTGTCTCTCTCGACCTGTTATTCCCTTGGAGGCCAAGAGTGGGTCCGTATTTCTGCCCTCAGATAGTGTTTGATGGAGCAGTAGTATCCTTGCTCTCCCCACCCCTCTCCCCATAGCTTCTGCCCACTGAGCAACTTAACCTGGGGTGGAGGCAGGAGTTGCTTCCTTGTCAGGCTGAGCTGGGTGGGGAGGGGGGGAAACATTGGCTTCAAAGTCCCAGTTAACCAGGCTCAAATGTGAGGTCTGAAGGGCACCTTCTCTTTTCCCTGTAGCAATTTGGAAACGGAGAAACTGTGTGGTGAGTAGGCCCACTGGAGCTCTTGTCCCCCGGGACCTCTGGGCAGGTGGGTGTGATGAGGGTCTGATAGAGTAGGATGGGCTGGGTTCAGAATATAAGGCCTGATTGACTGCTGAACTCTGGGTTGGGTGGATGGGGGGCAGGGCGGGAACCTTCGAGCACCCCCTCTGCCTGCAGACTACTTCTCAGAACACCTGGGTGTCTACCGACCTGTGCTGGCTGCACTGGAGTCCCTGAACCGTGCAGTGCTCACTGCCATGGACACCACCAAGCTGGTGAGTGAAAGCTGATATGATGGGTGGAAGGCCCAAAATGAGCGCAGGGGGTGACTGCTGTGCTGTGGGAGCCTCCACTGTCTTAAGGCTATGGAGCTAGAGGACTGGGTTCAAATCCTGGCTCTCCCACTTTCTGTTTGTGCATCTTTCTCTCTCTGGGCCTCAGTTCCCTCATCTGTAAATGAGATGAAAATAGAGCCTGCCTCCATACATTTGTGACAATAAGGAAGGCAGGGATTTTTGTCTGTCTTGTTCTGTCCCCAGCACCCAGAATATGCCTGGCACACAGTAGGTGCTCAATACCTGAAGCTGCTGCTACTGCTGGTTTTATTACTGGCCAGATCTAACTATTATGGGGTATGAAGCCTAGGACCTGGTAGGGATGGGCTGGGGGTGCGTTGTACTTGCACATGTGTCCGCTGGTCCATGCTGGCATGCAGAGCTGAGTAGGAGCGGAGCCTGGCCTGGGCACTTCAGGGAGTATTCGGGCATATGTTCACCCACTTTTGTGTGTACGTGTGAATGTGTGTGTGCAAGCATAAACAGGGCTCCTCGCCTTTATATGGTGACTCAAAAACCCCACAAACTTCCCTTGCCTTTGTGTATTCCTTTTAAGAGATGGCTGCACTTCCCTTTGTGCCATAGCTCTTAATAAGGAAGGAGCAGTGAGGAAGCCTGGGATTGTGCCTGACCTTTTTATAGAAGGGGAAACTGACGCCCTCAGCCAGTGGATGATCAGAGAGGACAGTGCTTCCCCTCTGGTTATTTTCACATGAGATCTAAGACTCACAAAGGGTCACTCCTTGGGGTCTGGCATGGGAGCTCAAATGGTACATTATGAGGGGTTGGTATGTTGCGGCAATTTCTGTATCTGTGGCCTGTATACAAGTGTGGGCGTCACCTTCCTTATTGCCATGGAAATAGGGCCCTGGGCATGGGCAGCTGGAGTGGGATTCTCTGAGCTGGCATTGGTTGGGGGGGATTCAAACTGCAAGTCACAGTGAGGGCCCCAGACCACCTCCTTCTGGCCCAGAAAGGATAGGGGGTGACCCATCACCACACGATGAGTGCCAGCTCCAATTACCTGAGACTTTTATCTGGCACTCGATGCCTCTCATAGAGCTTCAGTTCAGCCTGCCAAGCCTCTGCAGCCCCCTGGTGGCACTACCCCTTCCAGTCCAGTGTGACTCAGTTGAAGACTTTGTGTACCAGCCTGGCGCCACACTCTTGGTACATGGCCCGGGTCATCCACTGGCGTTGGAAATTGTGCAGTGAGGCCACCATGGATCCACCTGTCCACACTGCTGTGCCACGCCCAGGGTTGGCCACCAAGTGTGGCTGCAGTGCCCCATAGCCGTGCTGCTGACACTGGGCTTCCAGCTCCATCTCCAGGCGCTCAGTGAAACCAGGGAAAAGTGTGGAGCCACCAGCCAGCACCACAGTGTCAGCCAGCCGCCTCCGCAGTGTTTCAGGCACCCTCTGCAGCGCCCAGAAGGCCAGTGTGGGCAATCCAGGCTCAGTGTGGCCCAACAGACCAGGCTGAAAGATGGGTTCAGGGCAGCGGAAGCGCTCGCTGCTGAGGCAGACAGAGCATCCATTGCCTAAGCAGAAACTGACTGGCTGGTGGTGGGCAGGGTTATGGAGGTCACCCTCAAAGTCCAGCGACACATAGCAGCAGCGCTTCTTGAGCTGTGTGATGGCTTTTCGGGGCAGGGTCCTCAGCAGTAGGTCAGGGCATGCTGCCACCAGCAGATCCCGCAGGTAGCGCGACAGGGTGGTGCCTGCCACCTCCAGCCGGAAGGTGGCCTTGTGCCACGAGTGGCCCGCATAGATGGGTGTGGCGTGGCACACGCCTGCACCTGCCTCCACGGCCAGCCCGCTGAACGTGCCAGCAGAGCAGAGAGCCAACGACGCGGTGCTGGCCATGTGGCACGCGGGCACCGCCAGGGCCTCAAACAGCAGCTCGGCCACCCTCTCGCGGCTTGCGGGTGGCGCCGACGGCGAGTCGCTCACCAGCACGGGCCACTGCTCTGGGCATACCCGCAGACCGCCGACCAGCAGGCGCTCCCAGAGCCCCTCCAGCGCCTCCCAGTCCACCACCACGCCGTGCTTGATGGGGTGCGCCCGTGCCGGGCCACCCGCCAGCACGGGCAGCTCCCAGCTGGGCACTAGACTGGAGCTCTTCAGCACCAGCCGCGGCCGGTTCTCGCCCGCGAAGCCCGCCTTGGTGAAGCCCGAGCCCTGGTCCACCACCACGGCCATGCGGCCCAGTGAGGGCGGCCGGCGGCCCCTGAAGCTCCCCGACGTCGACGCCACCTTCTGGGCTCAGCTCCGGCCCGAGGCCCGCAGGCCTGGGTGGAGGCTCGCTCGCCTTTCAGCTCTTGGCTCTGCCCCTTGGGCCTCAATCCCTGCCTTGAAGAACTAGGTAACTACTTTCTCAACTCTTGGCTCCGCCTTTCATCCTGAGGCACACCTTCTGGCCCGGGGATGTCTCTCTTCAGCTCTTGGCTGCCCCCTGAGGCCCGAGGCCTCGCCTCGGGTTCAAGTGTCGGTTTCCGCTGTCGTTGGGCTCCCGCAGGTACTTGTCCTCTTGGGCCACCTCCGGCTCAAGGCGGAAGGTTCCACCTTGCACTAGGCCCACCCTCTGCGGGCCGACTGGCCTCTGCTGCGCGGCTCCGCCCCCTCAGCCTTTGCAGAGGTGGGTGATGGGAGCGGCGGTCCAAATCCTTTCAATACTGAGAAGCTGCCGGGAGCAGCTCTGAGAATATAGGGGCCTCGTGGCAATGTTATCTGGACACCTATGCCCTCCTGGGGAGCCCAGGAGTCCAGCCCAGTCGAGCCCCAGGCAGTGTCTTGAACCTCTCACCTGGGCTCATCGGAAGTAGTTCCTGGTTGTGGAGGTGGGAGGGGGTCGTCAGAAAAGGAAAAGAACTTGGATCCGACTAATTGTGACCTCAGTCCTCAGCACCCGCTGTGCTCGCGCACCCTCTTCCCAGCTTCTCTCCTGGAAACAGGTTCAAGGGCAGTGATTTGGACATCCAGGGGTCTGATTCTTTCCCCAAACCACTTCAGATTATCGGATGTACTCTAGCCGAATGTAGGGCTCCTTTCTCCTCTCAATGCTGAAGAAAAAGCTCTCAATCACAGGTCTGTAGCCACTCTGAGTATCTGTGTGCTCATCCTTGAGGGGCCCAGGAAGCCCACAGAGAGACTCCACCTTCAGGGGCTTCCTCCTATGGACTCATGTAGGCCTGAGTTTGTGCCTCAGCTCTGAAGCTGACTCACTGTGCAAGCAAGTCCTAATCTCTGAGCTCAGTTTCTTTCTCCAAAAGGTAGTAATTCTCACAGGTAAGAGGCCACTTCTGGTCTCTGCAGAGTCTCATTTTTCTCTTTAGGACCATTTTGGTTGCAAGTTGAAGACCCACTCACGTAAGTGTAAGCTAAAATAAGGATTGTATTACAAAGATCTTGTATGTATTATGGATACCAAAGGCAAAGATGAAATCAGGTTTTCAAGAACAGACCGAAAACAGGGTCTGACTGCAGGGCTGTGGGAAACCCAGGACGTGCACTGGCTCTGCACGTGTTACTCTTCTGAAGACTGGCTTCAGCCTGTGCATGTTCATGTAGCAAACAGTCTCTTACAGTTCTTGAATTACTGTCCCAGAGAAGGGGCTGATAGGACCAATGTGGGCCCATGACTTATGGCCAGGAGGTGTAGCCACATTGAGGAACATGGTTACCCTGATCGTAATTGTGTGGATGGTAGGGAAGGGTCAGTTCTTACAAGCAGCAGGGGAGATGCTATGGGTCATGCAACCTCCAGCATGATGCAGGTGATGTGGAGGGGACATTGACGGTAATGAAAGACAGTATTCAGCAGAATTTAAACCTTTAAGGCTTTAGTGAGCTAGGACCTTCACCTACTGCACCTGCCCCCAAAAGGCATTCTAAGGTTGGTCACCAGTGGAAAGCAGGCTGAAGATTGGGAAGGGCTGGGAAGGTTCTGGAGCTGGGTTTGGGACCCAGGACAGTAAAGAGAAGCAGCTGCACACAGAAAACGTGCTGGGCCTCTTGGTGAATTAGGAAGGTGATCCTCAAATTGGGAGACCACAAGTGGCAATATAGCCAGAGCAGGGGTGAGGGTGGAAGTCACTGAGGAGCCCTAGAGAGGAAGACAGGTTGGGGCTGGGCCTGTGCATCCCAGTAATAAGTTTTCATGTGGGCAATGGAGAACCAGTGTGAGCTTGTGAGCCAAGTGAACAGGTAAGGGGTTTCGAAGAAGCTGTTGGCTGCAGTGTAAAGGGGATGGAACAGGTGGGTTGGGAGACAACTGAGTTGCCTTGAGGATTACCAAGGAGAGTGGGGTAGCAGTGAAGGGTCAAGAGGCCCTGGGATCCCAGCCTTTCCGCCTGGGTCCTCTCGCAGGCAGAATGTGAGTCTCAGGCCCTATCCTTGCTGACAATAGGACCCTCACAGTTCTCCAAGGTGGTAGCTGTTTGTCAGACTCTCCCTCTACCTAAGCAGGACTTGTGAATGCTGGGGACTCTTGGAGATGCCATGCTTCTACTGAAGCAAACCCCTCCTCCCAGTGTGGCCAAACCTGGGTTTGTCCAAGCTCACCTCCCTGGGACCTGCAGACCTGGCAGATCTGACCCAGTTCTGGAGTTGTGTGGGGGAAAGAAATAGCCTCCCTTCTCCACTGTAGGGTGCCCCTCCCCAGGGGCAGGAGGTCTGACCTTTGGGTCACGAGAAAGGAGAAAACAGTTGGCTCCAGACTATCACGGTTGCTCAACCTGTTCAGCCCTGTCCTGCTCTGGCACCCAGACACCTCAGGCAGAGCTCATAGGAGCCAGGATCGCTATGCACTCTTTATTGAGCTGGAGCCGGGGGTGGTGGGGCCCGGGGGTAGTGGGGCCCGGGGGCTGAGCCAGGTGCTCAGGACCATGGGCGAGGGGAAAGGTAGTGGTGCCGCTTGCGCGGATGCTCCTAGATAGGGTCCAACACGTCGTTGGTCACCCGGGCCGTGTAGAACTGTTGCCAGCCCCCAGTCCCACCCGCTGCGGGGCGCCCCTCTAGCCCCCGCGAGTCCAGTAACAGCAGCAGGCCCAGAATCTTCATCTGCCGCTCGCGCACACGCACCCTCGTGCTCTGCACTGTCGCCAGCCCCTCGCAATCTGGGTGGCGCCGCTGCGGAGCCCACTGGGGCACCCACTGAATCCTCATTCTGCTGCCCAGGCCGAGTGCCCGGGCCTGCCGCCACCTCAGCCAGCCGCTGCTGCTGCTTGTCCGGAGGGGGAAGTAGCACGATCTTGGTCTGGGCATAGAGCAACAGAGTGAGGGAGCGCCCCGCCTTTTTCCCTCACCCACCCTGGTCCTATCTCCCAAGACCCTGCCTTCTATGTTTCTGGGACTCCTGCCATCCTTCCATGCCTGGTATGGGGAATCCCCACCCTGCCCCATCATCAGGCACCCTCACCTCTCTTGGAAACCCTAGCCCACCCAGGCTGACCTGAGACCTCCCTCTGTCCAGGCTTATGGATCCCTGCCTGCCCTCCTAGCCTTGATGCAGGCACCCACACCCAGAGCATCTACCCACTCGAGGGGAAAAGTAGCATGTTTTGGGGCTAGGGGCTGGAAAGGGGACATAAAGAAACTCCTGGTGCTCTTAGCCCAGTGATACTAACCATGCTGGGACCTCCAACCATCCATCCAGATTGTGAGAATCCTCTCCTGTCTATCTTTATGACTCCCAAGTCTCATCCACCTCTTGGTTTCTGGAATCCTTACTCTTCCTTCTTGGCTTTTAGGAACCCATCCACACCCACATGGGTTTCAGGAGCCCTCATCCTCAGGAGGGATTCTCTAACCTCATAGTCAATGCCCCTAGGACTTCTGACCCCAAGGCCTGGACTCACAGCATCCCCTCCTGCACACCTGTCCATGTTCCCCTGACTCCCCCCTGCACCTCCACACCCCCACCCACCCCCACCCCTGCACTTACGCCTGACTGCCTAAGGTGGCTGAAGAGCTGCTGTTTCCCCCAGGCCTTGTCCATATCAGGTGGCCTCTCCTTGCCAACCTGCTTGGGCACTTTGGTCCTCTTGTGGGAACTCTTGTTTCCCATGGCAGGAGTAGTTAACACTGGGGTCCACAGCTCATGCTGTCCCCTGGCTAGGGGCCCCCGGCCCTAGAATTGTCCCCTAGAGGCCACATTGTGACCTCATTGGTCCACGACCTCACCAGCTCCAGGCTCTGAGTGTCTCACAGAACCCATAGGTGAATCTTAGCTCCATTCACTCTGTAACTTCTGGCCTTGGTTTTTTGGCTATAAAAGGGCTAGTGATCATAAATGAGGCAGTTTCATTATTGGGCCAGGTCCAATAATGATGGTGCTTAGTGATAAGTACAGAGGAATTTCTATGACCTAAGTTTGAATTCTGACTCTATCATTAACTAGTTGTGTGATGTTGGCCAAGGTAATCAACTGCTCTAGGCCTCAGTCTTCTCATCTGCAAAATGGGGTCAATTATGGTTCCTGTGGGTTATTATGAGGATTAAATGAAATTCTGTTTGGAACAGGGCCTGGCACAGAATAGTTGCTTGTGTCAGCTGTGTTCTTTGGTTGCAAACAACAGAAACTGACCAATCATTTTAAGTGCCTTAAATGGAATTTATTGGAAGAACTTCAGAGAGCTCAGAGCGTGGCCAGGAATTCAGGGGTAGAACGGAAGTCTAGAGAGAAGACAGAAACCACTGGCCTGTCTGAGAATGAGAGGACCCATCCTCCCCTATGCCCTTGCTTCCCATAAGCCTCCTCATAAGCCTGGCCCATCAGGGTCCATCTGGTGGCTGAGCCAAGACACATCATGGGCAGGAGATTAATGGGAAGGCAGGCATCTGGACCATGGCTCCTGAGGGCCTGGCATGTGGTCTGCATCTCTCTCTTTGCCCTTCTTGGGAGGGGCTAAAGAAGGCTGGTTATATAGGTTGGACTCAGTGCTGGGGTGTGTGTGTGTTATGACAGTAACTTGGCTGTCTTGTGTCTGCAGCTCCTAGTAAATGGGGTGCTCAGTAAATGTTTGTTACGTGGACAAGTGAATGAATGAATGCATACATAAACTGAGTTTGCGGCCCACTGGTGAGTATGGGGTCACATCACACATCATTTGCCTCGTGTCAAAATAGGTCTTTGGATATCCTGTGACCTTCCCTACACCCCCCCCCCCCACCAGCCTAACTGTGCAGGGGCCTCACTGGCTGAAGGTGGTGGCCCCAGTATGGAAGTGGCCTTGGGGCCCAGAGAATGGCAGATGCCTTCCTGTAAGTTGGCCTCATACTTCCTAGGAAGGGAGGTCAGGCCCTGCTCCCAGGCCCTGTGCCTTCCTGCTTATGCCAGGTCCATAAGCCTCTTTATGCTGCCACTGTTGTTCTGATGGGGAGGGGGTGGAGGAACAGGGGAGTGTCTCCCCATTCAGAAATATGTGCTTGGGACCCAGAGGTGCTGACTATGCCCCCTCCGCCCCTAGGAGTATGAGCAGGCCTCCAAGGTGGACCAGTTTGTGACACGCTTCCTACTGCGGGAGACGGTGAGCCAGCTACAAGCCCTGCAGAGCTCGCTGGAGGGGGCGTCAGATACCCTGGAGGCTCAGGCGCAGGCCCAGACCCGAGGGCCATGGTACGTGAGGAGCCCTGCTGACCTGTGGGTCCGGTTCATGAATGCCCATTACCTACACACTCCAAGTCCCTTGGCTTTTCTCACATTGTATAGTTTCCACAGACTGGAGCCAAAATTCTTGTGCTGGGGCAGGGAGGCCAAAAAAGTGGGAGAGACTGGCTGGCTTTGAAGCCGGGGCCTCAATGTCCCCAGAAGTCTGTCTTGCCCTACCCAGGCCTGGCCGTGTTCTGGGACCCCAGTCCTTGGCCCTGAGGGCCTGCCGGCAGTGGACTGAGCCTGCACTTCCTTAGGTCAGATGAAGAGAGCGTGGAGGTGCAGAACAGGCCCCATGGCAGCCGGCGGGCAGGGCGCAGGGCCTTGTGGAGCGTCAGTCGGTCACCCACCTGGTCTCCTGGCTTCTCTGACACAGGTGTGCCTGTGGTGGGGTGGGAGAGCTGGCTGTGGAGGCCAGAGCAGGCCCCCCAGTGCCGGCTCCGGCACTGCCCCTCAGTTCAGCCTGACCGCCCCCGTGGGCCCCGTCCCCAGGGCGGACTCCAGAGGCTGAGATGCAGTGGCGGCTCCAGGTCAGCCGTCTCCAGGAGCTCATCGACCAGCTTGAGTGCAAGGTGAGGGCCCCTGGCCAGTGCCCCTCGGGGGTAGGTCTTCCTGGAATCTGCCTGAGACAGGCACGTGTGGGGGCCTGGCTCACATTCTGTGTCCTGCACAGGCCCCCCGGCTGGAACCCCTACATGAAGAGGAGCCTACCCAGGGTCCCGACTCGGTGAGTCCAGGAAAGGGATAGGCAGCTGGGCACTGGGCTGGGTATCATAAAGTGAGGGGGCTCACAGGGCGAGCTTCCCGTGGGGCCTCTGCCTCGCACACATGCCCCCTTTCCCAGCTTTGGCCCAGCCTTTATCCCCCAGGCCTGGCAGGTGCTGGGTTCTGGTCCCTGTTCTGACTGTAGAAATCACTGCCCCTCTCTGGGCATCCGTGTCCTTTCTCTGCATTTCTGGGTCTGGGGCAGTGTGAATGGAGGCTGGAGGGGAGAGGGACAATGACTGGATCAAGGCAGAGACCTTGGCGATGGGGAGAGGAGGGTGGAGTCAGGGATGTTGGGGGCCAGGTTGAGGCAGGAGTTCGACCTCAGGGTAGGCCAGGTCTGGTGCAAGTCAAACAGCAGGGCGTCCTTCTGGAGGCCACTGCGTCCCTCACCTGTGTCCTGCCCTACCTGAGCGGACTGGGCTGCCTCTCTTGCCAGCACATCCTCGTGGCCCAGAGGCAGGTACAGGTGGCGGAAGAAGCCCTGCAGGACTTCCACCGTGCCCTAAGCTGCTACGTGGACTTCACGGGCGCCCAGAGCCATTGCCTGCAGTGAGTTCACAGCCACCTGGTGTCTGGCTGAGGCTGGGCATCTCGGGCCAGGACTCCTATTATATACCCCTGGCTGGGTGGGCAGTGGTGGTGGCAGCCCAGGCCTGGCCTAGCCTGGCCATCTCTTTGGTTCTACAGTGTATCTGCCCAGAAGATGCTAGAAAATGCCTCCTTTACCCTTTACGAGTTCTGGCAGGATGAGGCTTCCTGGAGAAGGTATGAATGGCGGTCTAACAGCTCATGTTTATGGAGTATGGGCCCTGGAGTGAGTCAGGCGTGGGTTCAAATCCTTCTCTCCTATTCATTGGCTATGTGACCTCAAGAGACCTTAGTGGCCTCCTTTCCAAAATGGGAATGATAACAGTTCCCTCCTCGTTTGAGCAGAATGAGATGATGTGTAAAGAACGGAACACAGCCCTGGCCGGTTTGGCTCAGCGGTTAGAGCGTCGGCCCATGGATCAGGGAATCCCGGGTTTGATTCCTGTTAAGGGCATGTAACTTAGTTGCACCTGGCCCCGGTTGGGGTCATCCGGGTGGCAACCAGTCGATGTGTCTCTCTCACATCAATGTTTCTCTCTCTCTTCCTCCCTCTCTCCGTCCTTCTCTATCTGAAAGTAAATGCAAAAATGTCCTCGGGTGAGGATAAAAAAAAGAATGGAACACAGAGCCAGGTACACAGTAGGTGCTCAGTGAGCATACTATGTCACTATTGTGTCACATCCTATGTCAAGCACTTGTGTGTTACTTCATGAAGTCCTCACAGCATTCCTGTACAGTACAGACACTATTGACCCATTTTACAGAGGAGTAAACTGAGGCTCAGAGACAGTATGAGGAAGGACTGGGATCTGAATCCAGGCAGCAGGACTGGGGTGGGAATGGGGGGCTCTTAACTAGGTGGTCTTGATCTCTGGGGAACTAACGAGTCCACTCCATGGCCCTCAGGCACCAGCAGTCCACCTGCAGTAAGGCCTTCCAGCGCATCCTCATTGACCACCTGCGGGCTCCGGACACCCTCACCACAGTGTTCTTCCCAGGTGTGCTGAAGCCCCCGACCCTCCCGTAGCCCTGGGACCTGAGGAGGGGCCGTGAGCCCCTGATGGCCTCTGACCCCCAACCTTTGACCCCCAGCCTCCTGGTGGATTATGAATAATAACTGAGCCCGACCTGCATTAGTCAAGGACCCTGGGGCCGTGCCTGCCTCCTCCTGGAGCTTCTGGACTGGTCAATTCAGCACCAAGACCAAGGATGCTGCTGCTCCTAGACCTGGAGCCTGGCTCTCAGAGGTCTCCCAGAACCAGCCGGTGGAGAGTCTCAGCCCAGGGGTCAGGGGCTGGGCTGCTTGCTTTCTGTTTCTTTATCAGTGTATTTTATTGTTTGTAGCTTTGGTCTCTGAGGCACTCTGGCCTCTGCCTGGCTCTGGAGGCCTGGATTCTGGTCCTCTCTGCCTCTGCCTTGCTGTATGACCAAGGCAGATCCCCTCCTTCTCTGGGTGGGCCTTGGGCTGTCTGGCTGCCTAGTGGGTTCCCTACTTTCTTCCTGCTGTCTTGAGGCCAAGTTCTGCTCTTCCTCAACCAGCAGTAGAACCAGGGCTGATGCTCAGGGACCCCCCCAACCCTACCCCAAACCTCAACTCCTGAGGCTGGGCTGGATCTCTCTGCAGTGTGGGGTAAGGACCTGGATTCCCCCATAACCCTCCAGCACCCTCCATTGCACCACAGACATCTGGAAAATCCTGGGTTGGTTTGCATGTCATTTGCATATCATTTGCATGTTCATGCCCACCCATACTCAGGACACTGTGGGAAGCCCCAGGGTGACCTTGCCAAGTAGCAAAAGTTTGGGTCTAGAATCACCTGCTGTCCTCAGATACTTCTGAACCCCAGCCCACAACCCCAGCAGAGAGAGAATAAAGGCAGTGGTCACCTCTGGTGTTGCGTCCTCTCTCTCCCTTGGCAAGAAGGCCAGCCTGGGGGGTTAGTTTGCATCTCACACTGCAGGCTGCAGGCTCAAGGGCAAGACGCCTTTCTTCAGGAATCAACCTGTTCTCATCTCAAGCCCCCTGCCCTCTCACCCGCACAGGCCCTGGTTCTGGGAGTGAGTATGGTCTGTGCTTTCAGCCCTGCCCACAGTTGGTGGGGGTTCCAGCTTCACCCCCCACCTTGCCAAAGGGAGTGCGATGGAGTTGGTGGGTGAGCACAGAGCCTTCTCGGGGCCCAGAGAGCATAGTTGGGTTCTGTGAAACCTGTCCCCAGACAGAACTTCCTCTCTGCCCCTTCTCACGCCCTTCCAGGCCACCCCATCACCTGACAGAGTAGTTCCAGGACAGTAGAGGCCAAGTCAGTATGTCCAGACTCGGGGGAAGGGACTAAAACTGATGAGGGCTCTAAGGGGAGGCACATGGCGCCGCAGGAGAGCCCTCATGGCCTCTGACCTTGTCTGGTGCTGGGTCAGGGGTTCTTCAGGGGAAGGAGAGCTCGCCTCATGGAACTGAAAGAAGCCCAGCAGTGGGCTGCAGCTGGGGAGAAGGGGAAATGGTCTGAAGCCAAGGTGGCGAGGCGGCAGGGCCTTAGAAGGGCTTCATCCTAAGGACGCTACGGGAGGTTTTAAGCCAGGGGTGACTGTAGGGTCAGGGAAAGCCTCTTGAAGATGGTGATGTTTGCTTTGAGCTGTGAAAGATTAGCAGGGGTCTCCAGTCAGGGGCAGAAGGTGGAACCTCGGAGTGTAGGGAATTGGAGGTGAACCTGGGAGGCTGGGCCAGAGGGAGTTTGAGCTAGGAGTTTGCCAGATGGGAGTTTCTGGGTGGGTGTGGGGGCTGGACTGTAGACAGGAGGCTGGAGTTAGAGCCATAGGAAGAACTAAGTTCTGAGCTGGAGTTGTGGGGGCACAGAAGGGGTCCCCAGGCCTTTACATTGTGTCTACCTTACTCTCCCAAGCCAGCCCCCCTTCATCTTCATCTTACCACCCCCCTACCCCCCAGGTCTTGGCCACCATCATCTCTGGCCTGGAAGATTATGATGACTTCTTCATTGGACTTCTTGTCCCCACCTCACCTCAACAGTCCTTTCTCCATAAAGGAACAGCAGAGGAGGCTTTCAAAACATTGCCGTGGTGACCATGCCCCTTTGACTAAGGCCCTTCAATGGTCCTCCACTGTCTTCAGTATCAAGATCAAGTTTGATTTCTTGACTTTGCATTTAAGGCCCTTGGCAATCAACCCCCACTCCCAGTATGTGCAGCCTCCTGTTCCTTAAACACTCCAGATGAGCTGGGCTATCTACAACCTCAGTAACCCCCGCCTCTTGGCCTTTGTTCTCCCTCACACCCTGCTCACTACAGAATTGCTTTGTTAGCCTTTATGTAGCAGGTCAAAGCCATCAGGTCCGGGTTACCTTTCCTAGTTCTTGTCCACAATGCCCTGTTCTTGGTGGCTCTTCGGCTCATTTCAATAGCCACTGGGCACGTGCTTTGTGGCAGGTGCCAGGGATTGTGAAATGCACTGAGCTGGTGGTAGTACCCAGTTCAAGAGTAGCAGAGCTAGTAGAGCTCCCAGCTCTTGCTAGATGCCACTCCCCATCCTTTCATCCACTCTGCACCTGCCTCCTCACCTTCCTCCCACCTGTGCCAGTGACTCACCTGCACACATTCAGACCTGTCCTGTGGACTGGCCGAGTGCCAGACCAAGCACTAGAGAGAGTCTAGGTGGCTGCCGTTGGCCTCTGGCTCTCAATGAGAGACATGCACACCAAGTGTGCTTAACACAGGCTCTGATGGTGTGAAACACGGACCGAGAATTAGGTGGTTCTCCACAAAGTTATTCTCAAAACAAATTCTACTTGAATAAGACGTCAAGGTCCAGGCAAGATGCTTGACAAAACATGAATCCTCAGGAAAATCACACAAAGGCAGAGAAGCAGGTTGTGATGGCAGCTTCTATATACAGGGGCTTCCTGGGTCCTAGGGCAACTCCCATATCACATTTCACCTCACAACAACCCAGTGGTGTGGACATCATTAGCATCCCAAGTTTACAGATGAACACAGAAGCTCCATGAGCAAGTACCTTTCTGGGTCACAGCTGGATCTACTCCCAGGCCCCAAAAGCTATTTGCTGTCAAGACTGAATACCGTGGAGGGAGATCTCCGGCATCCTCTGATAATGGAAACTAGCTCAGAGCTGGAGGACAGTGGCAGCTATAACAAAGGAAGGAGAGGGGCTAAGCCCTGGAGTGGTAGGTGAGGCAGCACAAGGTTCTGATGTGGGCTATTCAAGGCCCAGCCCTGGGAAGGTAGGGGTGCTGGGGCCAAGGCCTGACCATTTCTGGAACTTCCTAGGAAGGCAGCCAGAGAATGTTAGCTAGACTTGTGAAGCAGAAAGGTAGGCTCAGAAAAGGTGTGCAAAGGAGAAAGAAAAAGTTGCAGGGGTGTGTGCCGGGGATAGGAATCTGGATTGTGAAAGGCGGCGGCAGAGGTAGCATGTCTGGTTTTGTCCACAAGAGGGCATCAGGCACCAGGCAAAGAAGCCTGAAGCCGTCCCTGGGAAATGGTGAGTGGGTGGGTCGGTGTGTGTGGGGCTTGGGGGGTGTTTTCCCAGCTCTGCAGCGGGAGGATCTGGATACAGCCAACTCCTGGGCCTGAAATTCCAGTAGTTAGAAACAGTAACAGGTGGCGAGATGGGTTTAGATTGAAGCATTTTTGCTCATTCTGAGATTTCATCATCTGAGGCAAATTATTTCTCTTTCTATTGAGAAACATGAATCAGTAGGTTCCTTGACTTCATACTTGGTAAAATTTGAAAGGTTTCTCCCCTAGCAACCTACCTTCCTATTTTACGCCTCTTTGTCTATGACAAAGAATCATGTAGTAATACTTCACTCATTTTCAGATTAATTGAATCTGCTGTTCAATAGTGCACCCCATATTTATTTCAGTGGTTATTTCCATAATTCTATTTTCAAATCTGCCTAAGCTTAATTATTTATTTTATCCTCACCTGAGGACATTTTTCCATTTTTTTGTTCAGATAGTGTATGTGTGTGTGTGTGTGGGGGGACCTCGACCTCGATGTGAAAGGGACACATCAAGTGGCTGCCACCCACACGACCAACCAGGGCTGGGGACAAACTGCAACCAAGGTACGTGCCTTTAGGGGGAACCGAACCTGGGTCTCTCTGGACCACAGGCTGACACTCTAACCGCTGAGCCAAACCGGCCAGAGCTGCCTAAGCTTAATTATTGCTTTGTCCCTCCCAGACTAAGGCCCAGGGAGGGTTGTCTGCCGTTATTTTTAGTCTCATACTTTCTTTTCTAGAGTTTTCATAGTTATTTTATATTGTGTCTGATAATAATAGCTGAAGCCCCAGGCGTGTAAATTGTTTATTGCTCCTGCTAACTCTTGCTTAAAGTGGCTCATTTTATTTGATGTTCAGTAACTTTTTTGAATATTTTATAATGGGTTGATATGCAATATTATTATTTTGGTATTTTTCTCTAGAGGATTTGCAGTTTTGCTTCTGCCAGACACCTCTAGATACTTTAAGCCTTGAATCACTTAATTTCTCAGTCCAGGGATTCTTCGACCTCTGGAATAATGAAAATCTGAACTTCAGCCCCAGGAGAGAGCAGTCATACATAATAAATACTCTCTGGTCAGATTTTTCTTTCTTCAAGCAGGAGCAGTTTTCCTGCTCAGTTCCCTTTGCAGACAGGCATGTTTTCCCTGCTTGCCTTTTCACTGTGGCTGAAGCCAAAGTGCTGGAGCCTGTAGCCTTGTGGAAAGGTCCCATTTTTATTTATTTTTGGTATAGGCTCAAAGCCTAGTCTCATATTCCCCTTTGAGGCAGCCAATCACTCAAACTTCTTTTCAGAATTTCTTTTGCTCCCATGGAGCACAGGTTTCCTCTTTTGTATTCAACCTCCTCTGTGGCTTCAGTTTACTCAAGTTTTTCCTAGCCCTTGGGGATTTCCTACACTTTATTATCGGTTACAAGTACACTCATTAAAATCTATCCAGCATCTGGGTGTTCATGGTAATGGCTAATTTTTCAGTCTGCTGTTTCCATACCAAACTTAACACAGCATTTCACTGTATTATCACTAGAATCCCTGGGACCCTTCTCTGCAGAGCTAAGGCAGACTGTGGATTCCTGACTTCTCTACCAAGTGTGGTTTTTGTGATAGGCTGAGATCCTGTCATTATTGCGTGGTGGATTGCAGTGCTGAGCAGATGCGGAGACTGGCAGTTGGCCCCATCTGTTTGGAAAATCAGTTAAGCCCACCTTGCCTTCTGAGGCCGAGGCCACAGCCGAGCCCTTCTCCCTACCCTGAGATCTAGTAGCGTTAGGGCAGAGGCCAGAGCTGGGTATTCAGGTGACAGAGTGAGGCCTCGCGGGTCACCGGCTAAGAAACTGGACTGACAGCCAGACTCCATAACACAGATGTGCCCGCACAAATCTGTGTCACGTCACAGCGGCGAGACCATCTGAGAGCCCTGGAAAGTATGACTGGGGGCCTGTTGGAGGTCAGCAAACTGGTGGGCTTTCAGGGAGAGCAGTTTGAACGTATACTTCAAGGATCTGAGAAGCGTTCACGTCTAGAAATCCCACTTCAGAAAATTATTCCAAAGAAATCAAGCAAAGGCAGAGGTTCAGTTCCGTATGCTGGACAGGGAAGATGGGAGAGCAATCCAAATGCCTAGCAGGAGGTGAAGAATTAAGAAAATTATGGCCTTCATTAATGCATACAACCGTTCAGCAAATAAATGGGAAGACAATGGACTTACGATTTAACATCAGTGTAAAAAGGACATGAAAATTTTCACTTTCTGTGGTTGTAGTTTTCTTATTAAATCACTTACAGGTGAAGAAGCTAAGAAGGAATGGGAAGTGTCTGTCAGCTGTTACTGCACTAACCGCGGCCCCCTGGGTGGGCAGGGCCGGGGCCCCTCAGCTGGAACCATCTCCTTAGCAGCAGATCTCGCTTTCATTCCCTGGGTGCTCTTGAGGCCATAGCAAGGACCACTGGAGGCCCCCACCCCCACCCCCATTCTCTGCCAAAGATTGGGGAGAGGAGAGGACACAGAAGCCTGCCTACAGGACATCAGTGTCCATACCACCTTCCCTCCCAGTTGTATTCCAGCTTCAGTCAAAAAAGGAATATAGCCTTTTATTGACTACTTTAAGTAGAACAAACTAAATACATATTTAACAGTTTTGGTTCATTTATACAGTACATTAAATAAGTTATGCACAGAGTTAAGTAACAAAAGTTCCTATCAGAGAAATGACAAAGCACAGAAAAATCAGACTCTACAGCATCCTGTGGGTGGTTTCACATTCATCGTCTCCCTTTAAAAACCACGCTTGGAGGCTTAGTTTTTAAAAATTTATTTACATTATTGGCTTTCTTTTATAAATGAAGCTTTTGTAGCCTCATCAGGAACTTGGAAAGCTGTGAAAGTGGACAGAAGGCCTCTTAACCAAACAGCACTTTCAACCATTCACCTAATGCTTATTGCTGCTTCTCTGCCAACTCCAATGCAGGGATAGGGCTGTCCCTGCCGGCCACCAGCCACACATGCCCTATTTGGTATAAGCATCAATGAGTGTACTCTGGGCAGTAGTGGGTCTGACCAGATGGGTCTGCAGGGGAAGCCCTGTCTCTGTGGCTGTACAGGGAAGGGTGGATGCAAGGCCCACTGCCCTCAGGCCTCCTGGCCATCGGTGGAAAAGGTCACCTGCACCATCATCTTTGGAAATGAGCATGTCAATGCATGTGGGCAAAGAGGCAGGGAGTCATGTTTTGGTTTCATAAGAACTAGACACCTAGAGTTGGAAGGGCCCTATTGGGCAGCTAGCCCAGTACCCCACCCTGCCCTGGGCAGGACTCCTGACGGCTGGCTGGGCCATGCTGGAACAGCCCAGGTTCCTCTGGCTTTTCTTACATTTGGCTCAAACACACCACCACCTAGTTCTCTGCAAAGAACTAAAAAATAATAATAAATTTAAGAAAGTTGGCTTGATCTACTAACCCGGGAGACTAGAAACCAGTTCTGAAGAAAGCCTCCAAGATGTGTTCTATTTTAAATGATTTATTCAATCCACAATCCCTTCCACAATTTCCAGGACAAACAGCCACCTGGTCATCACCTATGCTTTCATTCTGAAGAACTGTGTTGTTGAACCTTCAAATCCATTTGCTGAGATCTTTTCTGGAACTACCCAGAACAAGGTCTATGCCCTTTGCAAGCAGGTGACAGCACTGGGTATAAATCTTACTTTGGAACACGCTGTACAGAGTGAAGGGTAGATTTTTTGTCTAGCAGTGAAGATACTCACATTGACACCAAGAAACGAGGAGCTCCTGGTAGACCAACTGGCCCAGATGGGCCAGGAACATCAGCATGCAGAGAGCACACTGCAGGCGATGCTGCACACATGCTGGGCAGATGTGTCCCATTTCTAGACTTAGATCCATTGAGAGACACACATACATGACTCAGCACTGTCCAGGAAAAGATCCACTCGCTGTGACCTCAGGGCTGCAGAGCCCTCCCAAGTGTACTGCTCACACCTCATAAGGTTGGATGGCTATTCCGGCACAGGTGGAGTTAAACTTCTTTTAGAGTTTCCACTACTGTGTAGAGTCAGGCACGCTGCAGGCAGTGAAACCCAGATGACTGAAGATCTGAGGATCAAGCCCTTAAGGGTCCCTTGGAACATTTAAAGATGGCTCCCACACTGGTCACTTTTGGTCTTCTCTGGTTCCTGCAACCATTCCTCACTGGGCAGGACAAGGATATCCTGTCACTTGTCAGTGTCCCTCAGTGGGCAATGCTGAACTGGCCTCATCCTCCAGATGGGCTCTGACGGTGAGGCAGGCTTGTCACATTTGCTTTTGATTATTCTAGAGTAACATCGAAGAGCCTGTGACTATCCTGACACCTCCCGCATCACCACCCCGAACCCTCCTGCCATTTTTGTCTCTCCAAATCTTAGCTAGAAAAGTTGGTCCTCTAAACAGCCTGATTACATTAAGACATTTAAAATCCAACCAGATGAAAGTGGAAGCCTGAACTTGCACCTCTGACCTGGTAGCTGGGGTGGTGTCAGCAAAAACCGGAAACCAAGCGGAGAACTTGACTCACCCCTGCCTCTCCAGCCCTATCACCTCACCCCAAGACACTGCCCTTTCTCCTCCCAACCAGAGAGCTGGAGAATTTCAGAAGGGAGGGAGCTAGAGAAAGGGATTCAGTAAGTCTTGGACAGATACCTGCAACCTCTGTGTGAAACCGACCAAAATGAACACAGCAGCAGATCTGAGAGCCGAGCTGCAGTGGACACTGCCCAGGTTTCCAGTGTGGACTCTGGGTAGCACACGAGCAAAGCAGTGAACAGCATTAAAAAACTGATAACTAGGCTGTCACTGGAACCTCATTCCACAAAAAATCAGCTGGGACTTGCCCAACTAAACCTACACCTTAGCTTAAGAAAATGAAAATGAGCTCTGATGACCAGTATTTTGTTGGTTTTGGGCCAGAAACAATCTGATCTGCCCTAGTCTTGTGGCCACTGAAGATTAAAGAAGCTGCCTAGGTGTTCATCTGACTCGCCAATGAAAATACAGTGTGGGTGAGCTGAGGACAGACTCAGTGGACAGCTTGACACCCTCTTGCTGTAACTGAATTTTAGGCTCCATGACCTCCTTATGGGACATTTCACATCTTATGAAAATGTAGGCAAGTCTTATCTGGGGTGCTGACTTCATCCCTGTAAGAACACCACCAACTGCTGCCGTTTAGAGAGCTCCAAGTCAATGTCACATTACGGTTACTCCTTCTCTGGATGTACTTGACTGTGCAATGGAAATACAGGTGTTTTAAAGGTGCCTTGTACTGAGTTTCTTTGTAAGATAGAAAGTCCTTGGGTAAGGTAAATTAGGAACTAGAAATTCTTAAAGTAAGATACACCAAATGCAAGGATTGTGCTACCTACGCCGATTACTCTTCGTTCACGGGACCGAGAGCATCTGCTTCCCTCCCGTCAGTGCACAGAAGGTGGCCAGGTAAGGCTGGGCTTTCAGGTGTCGGCAGGAACAGGGCCGACCAACTCACCCCAATTGATTCCGTGCGGAGAGGTGCTGGAGGCGTGGAAGTGGAGAGTGGAAAGGTCAGGGGAAAATGTGTGGCAGTTCTTAACATTTTGGAAAACTCCCCGAAGACAGGAAGAAAAATTGGTCAGGCTCTCTCTCAAAATAATCCTCACATTTTACAAAATTCCTTAGCTCAAAGCGGGTACGTATCACACAAGAAGGGAATTTGAGATTGTGTGCCCAATAATAAACTGATGTAGTATGCATAATGACACGAAACACAAGGTCTGAAGGATTCTTTCCGGTCCAGGAGGGCTGCTCAGAAGTGACCAGGCCCTGACCCAGGCTGAGGCAAGTCCTAGTCACACCACATCACATCTTATAGGATGACTGTGGCTTAAGAGGCTCCAAAATGCAACCACAGGAAGATCCACACAGTGATCTGGACACGTGCAGTCTGAGATAAGAGGACACAGAACAGATGACTGTGTAAACAGCCAAGCGGTGACAGAAGGTTCTGCGTTTCTAATAGGTGATCCATTCAATAATGTAGTTGGCCAACATGCTCAGAGAGAACAGACTAATCCACACTTGAGTCTCATTCTCCCTCAGACCAGTCCATGCGCTGGAAACTATTTTCTGCACAAGCAAAATCAAATGAGAAAGAGAAAACTGGGTCCCAAACTAAAGTAGCCAGTCAGGGTGGAAAATCTTGTCCAAAATGATCTGTGATGCTTGGTGGAAGTTTTATTTATTTTTTATTGTTATGGGTACTTCTACTGAAATGGTGACTTTCCTGTGGTTTCTGAGAATCTTAACAAGTCTAAACAGCAGGGCCCAGGAAGTCCTGAGTGCTGCTTTTTGCCTCCCCAAAGTCCCTGTGGGGCCAATCAGTGGCATCTGCTGAGGGTGGAAATGGGGCTCATCAAGCTGTTGGGGGCGAGACGGGCCACTCCCTGTCAGGGGGCCTCTCCACCGCCTGCTGTCAGCCTCCAGCCTGGCTGGGCACATTCGACAGTCTGATGCTTTAGGAGGCAGGGAGGGGAGCTGGTGGTCTACACTGGAAAGGGGCCGGTCACGCCAGCTCCAGCCGGGAGAGGAAGAAACCGGAAAGCCACGGCAGAGGAAGCTCCAGCCAGCTGCCTGTGCGTACACTAGTACCACAAGGACACAGATGGGAAACTGGGGCAAGTGTCTGGAGGGGCCGTGGAGCAGTGTTTGCTGCGCTTGGACTCTTTCTGCCTCTACTTCACTTCTTGCTGATGACCTAGCAGCTACTTGTACTGGTCCAGCCCTCGTGCTGTGAGGTCATCAGGGGGAAGTGAGCCTGGGGCTCAGAGTCCATTGGTGTCAATGGCTGTCACAGAGGCAGGTGTTGAGGAGCGTGAGGTGGTTGCTGAGGTCTTGTCCAGGGCTGGGCTTGGCACACTGCAATCCGCGGACCTGGCTGACCTCCCTCCAGGGAGCAGTGGCCGGCTCTGGCTGTGGGGACTCTGGCCGTGCAGGTTCTGGCCGCAGAGGCGATGGTGCCGCTCCCAGTCCTTATGCTGGCAGAAAGAGCCGCAGTATCGTGCGATATTGCAGCCGCTGCAGGTCTCGCTGGCTTTGCGGCCACAGTTCCAGCAGTTCTGCAAGACACAGGCATTGGTTAGTTGCTTGGATATTGTGGGGCAAGATTGTCATCACTTGTCATCTGCACTGTACAAGACAGGGCTTGGAACTACACACACCTGTGCCTCTACTGTCATCTGCTTTCTGAGTTTCTTGAGTAAAACAGGAAGAGTACCTACCCTGACTGAGGGGACAGAGAGATGAGGGGGACGTGAAAACACATAAATAGCATCATCGAAGGGCAGGCGGAGGCGGAAGCCCCACCTCCTGTTGAAGGCACCGACACATTTTATCCTCTGCAACTAAGCCTAACTCTGTCCCGGGGTCCCCCCACCATAGCTATCTATTCTAAGACCACACGTGGTTTTCTCTCTTGGTTCTCTCAACAGAGTAATAATCTTATTTTCAATGACAACACCTGATCTTTTATTTTTTAATTACTTTTTTTATCCTCACCCGAGGACACTTTTCCATATTTTGTTCAGATAGAGTGGGAGGGGAAGAGAGAGAGAGAGAAACATCAATGTGAAAGGGACACATTGAGTGGTTGCCACCCACACGACCCAACCAGGGCCGGGGACAAACTGCAACCGAGGTACGTGCCCTTAGTGGGAACCGAACCCGGGTCTCTCTGGACCGCAGGCCGACGCTCTAACTGCTGAGCCAAACTGGCCAGGGCAACACCTGATCTTTTAAAAGTCACCTGCCAGGATACCAGGAGGGCTGGACAGGAGTGTGGGTGGTTATGCTACTTCCTCTGTGTCCATTCACCTTTCATAGATGAGCTGGGGGACGTGAGGATACTTCTGGCTTGTTTATGGGAGCCCCTGCAGTAACTCAGAGCTCAGGGCCCCAGAGGTCGAGGTCAAGAAGTTTTCTTACTACTCTGCACTTTTCTAGAGGGGGGACAGGTATTACTAGGATTTAGTAGAAACCACGGGAGAGCAGGGGGAGTGCACATTTGAGAATGCACTAATTCTGTGATAGAGGATATGAGCCAAGTGAGGCATGGTTAGAGCTAGAAGAAGCAGCCATGAAAGAAGCAGCTGAACAGTCATTGGCCAACATTACGCTTTAGTGTCATGAAGGATGTAGCCACCAAGTACAGCTCCCATCACCTGCCCCTTGGTACTCTCCTTCTTCCTCTAGGTTCCAGTGGTGTCTCCAGTAGTGACATGAGTATTTTTCTGCACACAGGGTCTCCAGGACGTACTTACAAGAGAAAAGCATTGGCCAGAGGAGGCTACCAGGAAGGGGCAAGAATTTTTCAGGTATCAGGAAGGACTTGAGCAGCCCCTCCTTCCCCAAGTTCTCTTGAATGGCAGAAGCCAATCACAAGGCCCAGTCTGACCATTCCTTAGGGAAGAAAGACACTATACCCCATGAAATCAGGACACTTGCTCAAGTCAAAAACAAAGGACAGTAGGTGTTGAAAAGAGCCACCTGGTTCACCTCTTGCATTGTACAGATGGGACATAGGATTAGTGGGCAGGAACTTGCCTAAGGTTATAAAAAGATTACTTGGCCCTGGCCGGATGGCATGGTTGGTTGGAGCGTCATCCCATGCATCAAAAGGTTGCAGGTGCAATTCCCTATTAGGGCACATACCTAGGTTGTGGGTTCGCTACCATGGTCAAGGCAAGTATGAGAGGCAAACAATCTATGTTTCTCTCACATAGATGTCTCTCTGACTCTCTTCCTTCCTCTCTCACTAAAATTAATAAAAACAGGCTGGCTGGAGTGGCTCAGTTGGTTGGAGCGTTGTCCCTCTACCAAAAGGTTGCTGGTTGGATTCCCAGTCAGGGCGCATAAATGGGTTGTGGGTTTGATTCCTGATCAGGGTGTGTATGAAAGGCAACCAATCAATGTTTCTCTTTCCCCCCATCCCTTAAAAATCAATGGCAAAAATGTCCTCAGGTAAGGATTAACAAAAAATAAATAAATAAATCCCAATAAAAACATATCCTTAGGTGAGAATTAAAAAAAAAAAAAAAAAAATACCCTGTCTGGCTGTCTGGTTTGGCTCAGCAGTTAGAGCATCGGCCTGCGGTCCAGAGAGACCCGGGTTTGGTTCCCGCTAAGGGCATGTACCTCGGTTGCAGTTTGTCCCCAGCCCTGGTTGGGTTGTGCGGGTGGCGACCACTCGATGTGTCCCTTTCACGTCGATATTCTCTCTCTCTCTCTCTTCCTCTCTCTCCCTCCCACTCTACCTGAACAAAAAGCAAACAAAAAAATGTCCTCGGGTGAGGATAAAAAAAAAAAAAAGATTACATGGCCATGCAAGCCTAGAACCTGGACCTCCTGACTCCACTAGACTCAATGTAGACGTTTAGTTTCAAATATTAGAAAGGGCTGTATACTCCCTTCTACCACAACAGCTTCTTAGGAAGTACGCTCTGGAGACTGCCCCGACTTGCTAACACCAACACCAGAGGACCAAAATGGGAAGCTGAAATAATTCTTAGGGCTCAAGCAAACTGCATTCCAGAGAAGTTCATACTTTGGAGTCTGACATGCTGACTCCAAACAATGCTTTGGCAGAACATCCCCACTTGTGGAGAAGACCTCAGTGGTTGTCTACATGGGCTGCTGTGGATACAGGCCAATGGGTCAGCTGACCGGGACAGACTCTACTCCCTCTGCCCAAGTCGGCAAGAACATCTTACACTGGGGCAGAATATTAAAGCCCTGGAACTTTCTCCTTGGCTGCCATTCTACTTAAACAAAATAGTTTATTTCATAATTTATAAAATATAATAAAACAAGGTAAGGTAAACAGCCTCCCACTGAGACAGGATCACAGACATGCAGGAAAAATGTGGTAAGTGTCAGAGAGCCAGGGTGAAAAGGATGCTGTTGTGTTCCCTTTCCTTGTGACTTTTCCCTGACTTGACCATGGTATCTTTTGCCAAGATATAAAAAAAAAAATGTTTATTGTTATAGTCGTCCTTCAAATCAGCATTCCTTAAAGCTAGAGCAGCACACTTGGTCAGTCTTTTGAAGTTAATGGGAGAAGGTTATAAACCTTCAGAACTACTGGCCAGGGAAGTCAGAAATGGGATGCCAGAATTTTCTTTGTCAAGCACGGACCATCAGTTTCTGCCAGTATTATTCCAAGTGTGGCCCAGGGACCACCTGTATCAGAACTGCTTGGGGCTTGTCAAAATTCCTGGGACCCATCCCACACCTCCCTGACCTTACCACAAACCTGGCCCCAGAGAAATAACTCCTCATCTTACCATCACCTGCTAGGCCACTCTGTTTGCCAGGAAAGCCAGGCTGGGGACAGAAGGTGCCCTGTGGTGGGGATGAGGGGACCTCTCACTTCATCTCCCCAACGAGGCATTCCAGGGGAGATGCTTGAGTCTGGCCTCAGAGGAGGCAGCTATTCTGCAAGAGCTTACACATGTATGTTGTTAACTGCATAACAAAATCCTTTCCATCTGCATAGTGCAATCAGCACACTGCAGTTTATAAACACTTTCACAACCATGATCAAATTGTATCTTTCTAGAAACTATGAGACCAGCATGACAAGGGCTGTTACACACCCATTATAAAGAGAAGGAAACCAACTTCTTAAGGACACATCACTTGTGTGAAGGGTAACTGTGACGGGAATTCAGGGTTCCTAACCTCCAGCCTTGGGCTCCCTCCGCTATACTAAGCCGCCTGTCACAGGATGAACAACAAACTCCAGGGATACACTGCTAGACTTTAAATATGTACAATGTTTAAAATTATAGCTCCTTAAAAGCACACTCCTATAAATGGAGAGCTGGGATTTAAACCATGCTGTCCAGATCCAGAACTCATGCCCTCAGCCAAAATGTTACACTCCTTCTTTGGAGAAAGACAAAGAAAAATATAAACACAGATATGAAAGTAGATAAATATGAACAAATATTGATATGAATAGTGATAGATACAGAATTAAATATACACAACAGAAAAAGGTATCACTGCTCAGAAACAATTCTAAAGAAAAAGTAGGAGGGGAGAATAAAAACGGGAGAGTTAAAGGAACTATTTCCTTTTACCCCCTTGAGTCTAAACTTTAAATATGACTTCTAATCACATAACAATCTACAGGGTAAATTAAAGGAACTATTTTCTCACAACTCAGGTCTTTGTTAGAGTGCTACAATAAGGAATTTTTCCATATCCTTTGCGCTGGCTATAGGATATTCAGACATTTTCGTCTTTACATTGCCACAACTGGCATTGCTATATTGAAAGGGATCATTTAAATAGACTGAGAAAATAAACTTCCTGTTGTTTAAAAAAAACAAACCAACTAAAATACCCAGTTCTTTTTTTTTTTTATCCTCACCCGAGGATATTTTTCCATTTTTTGTACAGATAGAATGGGAGGGAGAGAGAGGAAGGGAGAGAGAGAGAGAAACATCGACGTGAAGGGACACATCGAGTGGCTGCCACCCGCACGACCAACCAGGGCCGGGGACAAACTGCAACCGAAGTACGTGCCCTTAGCGGGAACCGAACCTGGGTCTCTCCAGACCGCAGGCCGACGCTCTAACCGCTGAGCCAAACTGGCCAGGGCTAAAATACCCAGTTCTTTATAACTTCAAGAGAATGTCCCAAAGACAGCTAATTTCTCAACTAGCAGATGAGATCTACCTACTTAGAAAACACACACACACACACACACACACACAAACTGGCTTGTTTAGGACCCTTAAAGCGGAAAAGCAACTAAAATGAAAGTTATAGAAAAACTTCATTATAGTAAAAGGGACTGCTATAGTGTTTCTGTCACCACCCCCTTCCCCAGTTAGTTCACTTTTATCCTCATGGTGGTACAAGAATGTCTTGTTTCTTTTAGAAGCACCACCAAGTCCTAGCACTTGGAGAGTTGGGCAGATCTGCCTCCTCTGTTACTTTAACTTATAAAAGAACTACCCTATTTACAGACCAGATGCTATAGGGGCCTCCATTTCCTTACTCCTGCACCCTGGCTTCAGCACTGTGGGAAAAGCCCTAATCCAGTTTCCTCACTTGTAAAAACAGAATCCAACAATACCCATCTCATAGGGTCATTGTGAGGATCATAAAGATAATATACACACTTAGCTCTGCGGCTGGCACATAGTACATAGCCCACTCAGTCCAGGGGAACATCATCATTACCATGCAATCCACAAACTCTGTCTTTAGGGTGAATTTTCAAAATTTAAACCAATATAGCAAGCTAAATAATATAAGTAAGAATATAATACAGGGTGGGGCAAAGGTAGGTTTATGGTTATAAGTTCGCAAAACACAGAGTTTATTCTTTTTTAAAAAAATATTTTATTTTTTATTGATTTTTAGAGGGGAAGGAAGAAACATCAATGTGAGAGTGAAACATTGATCAGCTGCCTCCTGCACGCCCCCTATTTGGGATCGAACTGGCAACCATTGGGTGCATGGGACTACGCCCAACAAACTGAGCCCCACTGGCCAGAGTGACAGAGTTTATTCATGTATTATTATTTATTAATTATTGTATTTTCCATATGAACAAGTATAAACCTACTTTGCCCCCACCCTGTATAATTGAGAAATAAAAACCTTCTGGTACCGAATAAAAATTATAATCATCTAGTCCAAGAGCAGATGGTTTTGTCTTACTGCCTAGCACTCGAGAAGAAAACAGTGGGCTGAGTTACTCCAGCTGTCCCTGTCCCCGCCCCAAAGGCTAATAGAACTCTGACCTCTGTTGACTCTTCTTGCTCATTTATGACGAGGAAGGCATCCTCTGCGGCCTGCCGTTTGACGTCTGCTATGGTTTGCTCCATCCGAGCTCTCTCAGTTGCAATCACTTCAAAGGCTTTTTGTTCTGCCTCAGCAACAGCTTTCTGTACTTCTGACATGGCCTGAATTTTCACCTTATTCACAGCTTCTTCTAGAAGAAAGTGACAGTAAAATCAACTGGCCGAGAATTCTTTTCCCTCCCACCCCACGTCATTTCTTTCTTTCTTTTTTTAAAATCCTCACCCAAGGATACATTTTTCCATTTTTATCTTCAGATAGAATGGGAGAGAGTGTGAAACATCAATGCAAGAAAGACACATCGACTGGTTGCCTCCTGCACTACCCCAACCAGGGCCGGGGACGAACTGCAACCAAAGTACATGCCCACGATCAGAATCGAACCCACGACTCATTAGTCTGTGGGCCAAAGCTCTAACCGCTGAGCCAGACCGGCCAGGGCTGCATTCACTTTTATTCTTTTTTTTCTTTATTGATTTTAGAGAGAAAGGAAGGGAGAGGGAGAGAGAGATAGAGACATCAATGAGAAAGAACATCAACTGGCCACCTCCTACATACCCCACACTGGGGATTTGGTCCACAACCTGGGCATGTGCCCTGATGGGGAATCGAACCAATGACCTCTTGGTGCATAGGTCAATGCTCAATCAGTGAGCCACACCAGCCAGGTTCACTTTTATTCTTATACTCACTAGTCCATCTGTACAACCACTGGTTGGGTATATAGATGGAGCTGGGGATTGTGCTAGGAATGGGAATACCTAGGTGACTAAGACTAGTCCATGTTCTCATAAGTCTTTGTGATCAAGTGTAAAGGTAGCTTATGTGTCAATAAAGGAGACAAGAGACCCAAGGGGAAAGTAGTCAGCTCTACAAATGTCAGGGGAAGATCAAGAAAATGTGTCTTGCCCTGGCTGGTCTGGCTCAGTGGTCAGAAGGTCAACCTGCGAACCAAAGGGTTGTGGGTTAGATTCTGATCAAGGGCACGTACCTGGGTTGCAGGTTCAATCCCTGGCCCCAGTCAGGGTCATGCAGGACGCAACCAGTCAATGTGTCTCTCTCACATCGATGTTTCTCTCTCTCTCTCTCTCCCCCCCTCCCTTCCACTTTCTTCAAAAAAAGAAAATCAGCCCTGGCTGGTTTGGCTCAGCGGTTGGAGCATCGGCCTGCGGACCAGAGAGTTCTGGGTTCAGTTCCTGCTAGGCCCTAGCAGCTATGGGCACGTACCCAAAAAAAGAAAATAAATAAAATAAAATCAATGGAAAAAGATCCTTGAGTGAGGATTAACAACAACAACAAAATAAATGAATGAATAAATAAATACATATAAGGATTTTATTAAAAGAAAGAAAATGTGTCCTGGTTGAGATAGTAGGTGGAAATGAATTTTTGGAAAGTCTTGCATCTCATGCTAAGGAAGTTGGCCCCCTTTCTGAAGAAAATGCAAACCTTAAAGGGTTCTTTGCAAGGAGAAAAGGCTGAAGACAGAGATACCCCCTTAAAGACTGGGACAACAATTTAGAAGAAGAGATACAAGAGACTGAATTTAGGCAGAAGCAAGTGGTACAGAGGAAGGGATGGGGGAGAATAAGACTGGTAGCATCTACATATCTGGAGGTAAAGGTAAAGATGAAGACTGGTAGTTCTATGCAACACAACACATAAGCAAAATGTTGGCGTGGAGGCAATTGGAAGGTTGCGGTGCTCTGGGGCATCCAGGTACAAATGAACAGGAAGTGGTTTGGTATATAAGACTCACCCAGGTAGGAAAAAAAAGGGCTGTAGATACAGATTTGGGCAGGTTGCCAGGAGCCCTGGGCTTCCAAAGCCCTGTCTAGTTATCATCACCCCACTTGGTTCCTAATCACTTTCTCCCATCATCATCACCCTGCTTGATTTCCAAAGGATGGTCACTCCAAATGACACATTGTACGCACTTGAGCGTCAGCCCTAAGTCCCAAAGTAAATGACTTCCTTCCTGAGACCACAGACTGGACAGAAGCCTAAGGAAACTCCTTTGCTGCTTGGCTCTTGCATATGGCCTATGATCAAAGGAGATTTAAACAGAGTATTCTAGGCTGTCATCCTAGAACTCTCCATTATTATTGCTCCAACCATAAGAAAAGAAAGTTTTGCCCTGGCCAGTGTGGCTCAGTGGTTATAGTGTCAGACCACACAATGAAGGGTCATGGGTTCGACTCCTGATCAAGGGCATGTACTTTGGTTTCAGGTTCGATCTCCAGACCCGGTTGGGGCGTGTGCAGGAGGTTATCAATTAATGCATCTCTCTACCGCCCCCCTTACTCTCTAAAAATCAATGGAAAAAAATATTCTTGGGTGAGGGTTAATGGGAAAAACAAACAAACAAACAAACAGCACACAAAATCCCCTCTAAAGAAAGTTTTCACCTCAAAGGCCAAGCAAGGATGATGCTGAGTTGACTTGACTCTGAAACTCCATGCTTCCTTTACTCTTACTGTCCATACTGTCCATTATGGCCCACCAGAGCTACCTTTCATATCCTCTTATTCATTACAAGGTAGGAGTTAAGTCTCTTTTTGAGCCAACATAATAATGCCTTGAAGAACATTTATCCTCTCAGTTTAAGGATCAATAACTACCTTGCTGAAGGTCATCTAAGGTTACAGTTGGCACTACTGCAGAATAAGAACTCAAATTTAGCTGGCCCAAATACCGTAATCTGGTTCTTAACAAAAGCACCTCCCAAGTAGAAAATCATTAGTTACTAAGGAGATCTTATGTGTGGTAAATTTAGTGACTGCCAGTAAGGATGAACATTTTGCAGTATGTTTACTTGTATTTTTCATAATTTATCTATTCATACCTTTTGTCCATTTGTTTATTATGGTCTTGATGCTTCTGAAAGTCTTTATGAATGACAGGTATTAACTTTTTTAAAGAAGCAAATTTTATCTTAGAAAGAAAAACCAAAAACTGTAATGGACTAAAAGAAAATGTTACAGGAAAAGGGAGGCAAGAAGAAAAGGCAGCTAGTATTTAGATAAGGGAAATAGTAAAGATGTGAGGTTAGCTTAAACCCCTATCTTACCACAATAGGCAGTCCCACCCTTCTTTATTCTTATAGAAATTGAGGGCTCCCCAGAACATGAAGATGGGGACAGTGAAGGTGAAAGAAAGAACAGACAGTTGTTCTAAGAGCAGAATAAATGAAGCGTGATAGTGTGTGAACACAGTGTATGTAGATTCCAGTGAACAAAGCAGACAGAAATGAATTACGCTACATTCCCAGATACAGGGCATATAAACAGGGAAGGCAGGGTTGGTTACTTAATGCCTCAGTGTGACCCAGAAGAAGAGTGTGAAAAGGACCTGCATGGACTGCTGGAAGGCTTTCCAAATTCTTGACCTGAAAGTAACACAAGAGGCATCCAGATGTATGCAAAAGCTGGAAGGGAAGAGGCAGAAGCCTAGAGTCCTACGAGGAGGATGTTATGAGACAACAACCTTTCCCTCAAATATATGCTCCACACTGGCACAAATTAGTGAGTACATGCGACCTATAACCAGACAGACACATACCAGTTTTTTTCCAGAACTCCACAGGTACATATCCTGTTGCTGGCCTACTGTTGAATTCCCGCTGAGAATCTACAGAAGAAAGATAAGTAGCATAGGTTCAAAAACTATCTATGATCAGCATGTTTTCTTTTTACAAAAAATTTATCAGATCTCTCATTCACGACTTAGACTCAAACATCTCTATTTATTTAGTGCAAAAGTATTCCAATGAGGGATGAAATTAAATTAGAAAATAGCTCTTTACTTTTAAAACACACACATGTGCTCGGCAGGTGTGACTCACTGGTTGAAGGTCAACCCATGCACCAAGAGGTCGCCGGTTCGGTTCCTGGTCAGGGAACATGCCCAGGTTGTGGGCCCAATCCCTAGAGGGGAACATCAGGAGGCGGCCAAAAGATGTTCTCTCTCATCAATGTTTCTATCTCTCTCTCCCCCTTCCTCTCTAGAATCAACAAAGAAAAAATATTAAAAAAAAAAAATCAATAGCCTTGGCCGGTTTGGCTCAGCAGTTAGAGAATCTGCCTGCGGTCCAGAGACCCGGGTTCGGTTCCCGCTAAGGGCGCGTATCTCGGATGCAGTTTGTCCCCGGCCCTGGTTGGTCGCGTGGGTGGCAGCCACTCGATGTGTCCCTTTCACGTCGATGTTTCTCTCTCTCCCTCCCACTCTCTCTGAACAAAAAAATGGAAAAATGTCCGAGGATAATAAATAAAAATTTAAAACACACATGCATGCCTCAAATATTAACAGTATTTCAAAGTAGTGAGATTAAAAGTGATCTTCACTTTATTCTTTTTACTTGTCTTTATGTCCCTATTTTTCCTCTATGAACATATACGTATTTTTAAGGCACTTCCTAAAATATAAATAATTACAGATATTTATGTGTTACATGTATATGTTTCAATATCAAATTGAACTGTCCCCATCATGCACAGGGAGCTGGCAAGTGCTCTGAAGGTATGTCAGAAAATATAGCTTTTGTTTTTTGGCCAGTCTGAATCCTTACATGTGATTAAAGGAGGTTTCCTGTACACTTCTTTTAATGCTCATAAACAAACAAAAAATACCCCAAAAACAAGCAGTGAAGAAAATACTCTGATCTGGAACAGTGCATTTCAAATGTATCACAAAGAGGCATCCTGGGGGTTGCTGGGAAGGACACAGGGGTGGTGGGTGACTTATCACATATGTTTATTGTGGTTGTAGAATACAGTATTTTATAAGAACTGGTTCCATTGCTTTTAAAAATGTGAAAACTGAGGTAATTTGAAATTTAAAGAAAATGTCAGTGCTAGCAGACTCTCTCATTTTTTAAAAATTGATTTGAGAGAGAGAGAGAGAAAAACACTGATTTGCTCTTCCACTTATTTATACATTCATTGTTGGATTCTTGTGTGTCCCCTGACTAGGGACTGAAACTGCAACCTTGGCATATTGAGACACTCCAATCAACTGAGACACCCAGCCTGGGCCTCTCTCATTTCCTTATGCTTTGTTGAGGCTAATCTGAAAAGTAGGTTTAGTGCTCTAAACACTCACCAACTCATGGTGCAATGAGGAATAGGAGCACAGCCTGTGTGGCAGGGGAGGCCAGCCTGGCACAAAACATTTGCCAGAGAAGCTTTATAAAATGGTTAGTCCTCATGAGAATGCCTGGGATCTGGCTGCAAACTGGTCTTGGATAGGGAGGGAATCTGCACAAAGAACCTAATTCTGTATCCACCCCCACCAAGCTGTGAGGGGATAAGGAGATTTTTGGTTCCTGGAAAATACACATAACATTTACCATTTCAAAGTGTATAATTCGGTGATACTTAAAAACAACTTTTTTCTTTATTGATTTCAGAGAGAGGAAAGGAGAGGGAGAGAGATGGAAACATCAATGAGAGAGAACATCAAATGGCCGCTTCCTGCATGCCCCGCACTTGGAATCGGGCCAACAACCTGGGCATGTGCCCTGACTGGAAATTGAACTGGCAACCTCTTGGTGCATGGGTCAATGCTCAACCAGAGCCACACTGGCTAGGCTTCAGTGATATTTCATACTGTGTCACAATGTTGTACAACCATCATCCCCATCTAGTTACAGAACATTATCATCACCCCAAAAGGGAACCCCTAAGTTTAACATTTTGGTAAAGCATTAATACTTTTTGTAATACTATGCTCTCTAGGAAATGCTATCCCTGCCAATAAAAAGAAAACTGGCCCTGATTGGTTTGGCTCAGTGGTTAGAGCATCGGCCTGTGGACTGAACGGTCATGAGTTCAATTCCTAGCCAAGGGCACATTACTGGGTTGTAGGTTTGATCCCTGTCCCCGGTTGGGGTCGTGCAGGAGGCAACAATCAATGTATCTGTCTCACATCTATGTTCCCCCCCCAACCCCCTCCACTCTATCTAAAAATCAATGGAAAAAAATCCTCAGGTGAGGATTAATAAAAAAAAAACAACAACAACAACAACAACAACAACAACAAAAAAAAGAAAAGAAAACTGAAGGGTTCTCTTCAACATAAGTGAGGCCCATAATTCAAATCTTATACCTAAGTATGACATTTATGAAATATGGGGGGAAATCTAGGACTGGAAGAGGCAAAGTAACACAAGCTAATCAATTTCAGGTGAGTCCTTTTCCCCCCAACTGAGTCTTAAATAAGGAAAGCTAGTCAGAAAAAGGGTTCTTGAGTGTGTAGATAAGCCATCATTGATGTTAAACGACAGAAGAAACACTTGTTTTCTTGTGTGGATGTGTGTTAAGACTTGACCAATCAAAGAACAGCCACTCCAGTTCAGTCATCAATAAACCCCTGGCCATATCCTTTGAGGACCCCCCCAGTTCTTAGCATTTTATTTTTCTGACAGATGTAAAAGGTGAGATGCACATGACCCTAAAGAAACTTCTCAGCTTACTCAGGAAATGCCTAGGAGCTAGGGACATTTTCATGATATTCCTCCAAGCCAGAGTAACTATTTTTATATCTCTAATCCAGGAGACAAAAGTCAGGATTTTCAGGTCATTTACTTAAAAATAAAATCAGTTTCAGCCCAGTCGGCGTGGCTCAGTGGTTGAGCATCGACCCATGCACCAAGAGGTCACTGGTTTGATTCCCGGTCAAGGCACATGCCCAGGTTGTGGGCTAGATCCCTAATGGGAGGCATGCAGGAGGCAGCCAATCAATGTCCTCTCTCATCAATGTTTCTATCTCTCGCTCTGCCTCTCCCTTCCTTTCTCTCTAAAACCCAATAAAGAAAAAAAAAAATTAGTTTCAGAGGCTACTAAATTAGTAATCAAAGGCCAGACAAATAATGCAAACAAATGGGTCAAAAATGGGGGACTAATGATATTGCAGTTATGTAGAATGCTCTAGTTTTAGGAAAAATAGAATGAAGAATTTAAGGATGGAGGTATAAGTCTGGAGTGTGGAATAATGAGCTGGTAATTTCTTTATGTTCCTGTATTTTCTACAATAAGCCATGCAGTTTGACTGAAAAATGACTTACCTCATGAGGTTGCTGGGAGAATTAAATGATAATGTACATAAAGGAAGGTTCTCAACTCTGGGAGCCGAGGTTCCATCTCAGACCAATTAAATCAGAAACTTGAGGTAGGGGTCACGATATCAGGATTTTTCTAAAATTCCCCACATGGATTCGAATGGGCACCCAGCATTAACCACTGAAGAAAAGTGCCTGGCTCAGAACACAGTGTTCATGTTTAAAGGCTGTCCAAACCACACTGGGAGCATCGCCTCTCAGACATCATGTATATTTTCTATTGTAATAACGGTCAAGTGTCTTTTTAAAAGTTGATTCTTCTGGTATTGCTACAGCTTGACCTTTTGCAGTTTCAGGCATTATCAACTGACTAATCATTTCAACAGGAATTTCACATTCTTTTAACCTCTACCCCCACCCCACCAAAGATATATTCACAATTCCTTCTCTTTCCTTTCCCCCAAATACAGACATACTCAAATTCCATTACAACAATAGCCAGCATTTACAGTATTCAAGGTAAATGCTTATCACAGCTGAATCTTATGGTTCAGATTCTACAAATCTTTTTTTCTTGAACAAGTTTTATTTTTTGTTTTTCTTAAGAGTTAATAATTGCCTTATTTATTCATGTGCTGTTTCTTATGTAATTATTTCTCATTCAATCTCAAACTCTCTCCTTATTGTATTAGGACTTTATAAATTTCATTTTCTTAAAAAAACCTCCCATAAGCTTCTGGGCTAGCCCAGTCTGAATTGGCTCCTTTCATCTTCTTCTTTTTTTTGGTACGTGCCCCTAGTAGGAACCAAACCCGGGACTCTCTGGTCCACAGGTTGATATTCCAACTGCTGAGCCAAACTGGCCAGGGCTGGCTGCTTTCTTTTTAATTTTGTTGTTATTAATCCTCACCTGAGGATATCTTTCCATTGATTTTTAGGGGGTGCGGGGGAGAGAGAAAAAAAAAAAAATCAATGTCAGAGAGACACATCTATTGGTTGTCTCCTACACAACCCCGACTAGGACCAGGGATCAAATTTGCGACCTAGGTCCGTGCCCTTGACTTGGTATTGAACCCGAGACCCTTTGGTTCACTGGCCAATGCTCTTAACTGCAGAGCCAAACCAGCCAGGGCTGAATTGGCTGCTTTCTAGGGTTGCTGCATCACTATAGCTTGGGACCCTCTTTCACTATTCTAGGGATTCCTTTCTGCTTTCTTTCTTGAGCTGGTTCCTGTTTCATCAATTCTATGTCTTCCACCTTCTGGTTTACTTCCCTGTATTGGGATATATCCATCCCCACAATAGTAGACACCACAATAAAGGGTAGATAGGAGGTGCATTTCTTGAAAAAATTGTGGGTTGTTAATCTAACACTTAATTATTTTGATTGAGTACAGAATTCTAAGTTAAAGTAACTTTCTTTCAGATTTGTATTTATTCTAACTTTCAATGATGCTCACTGATAAGTCTGTTTCTTTCACTTGGTAGAATGGTTTAACCTGCAATACGGTCTCTCAGTTCTGGGTAAAATCTGCCACCTGCGTACCCCCCAATGGGGATTTATTTTGCCCACAATCTGGGCATGTGCCCTGACCGGGAATTGAACCGGTGACCTCTTGGTGCATGGGTCGATGCTCAACCACTGAGGCACACCAGCTGGGCCTGGGTAAATTTTTAAAATTATTTCAATAACTATTCTATCTTTTCTATTCTGTTCAATGTTTCTGAAACTCATGATTTGAATATACAAGTTTGATGGAACTCTAATTTTCAAAAAAAGTCTTTTTCTAACTTGCCTGATTATTAGATTCATTAAACATATATACTCAGATTTCTTGGTCCTTAAATCATAACCTCCAGGGAAAGGCCTGGAATGTGCACTTGTAATAAAAGGCCAGGTTACTCTCATTCCCAGGTAAATTGGGAAAAACTGATAACTGAGTCAGTTTTTTCATTAAAAACATTTTTTAATTGCCAAACTTGGATGGCTAACAAGTTTATAAATACATTAATGTACAAATTAATGAAAAATTATAAAGTGAACACCCATACATCTCCAGATCAAGAACGAAAACACACCTGGCCGGTGTGACTCAGGGGACTGAGTGGCATCCTATGGACTGAGAGGTCCCCGTTTGATTCCTGGTCAGGGCATATGCCTGGGTTGTGGGCCGGATCCCCAGAAGGGGGTGAGCAGGAGGCAGCTAATTGATGTTTCTCTCTCAGATTGATGTTTCCATCTCTCTCTCCCTTCCTCTCAAGCTAAAAAAAAACAATAAAAAATATTTTTAAAAAAAGAAAGAAAACACTTCCAAAAACCCCAAATCCCCAAGAAATTAGAAGTAGTAGCCTCAGTGTTGTTTAAATGATGCTAACCAGACTTGTAATCCTGTCCTGAGAACAGCTGATAAAGATGATGAGACCTCACTCTGCATCACAACATTCTCCACCCCAAGCTCCCGCTCCCTAGAGAAAACCATTCTCCTGAACTCTATGATAATTGTTTTTTTTTCTTATGGTTTTTGCACTTATTTATGAATCCTTAAATAAAAGAACAAAATACATCCCTTGTCTGGACAAAATCTCTTCCTGAAAATATGTGAATCACAAATTTTCAGACAGAGGGAACCTATAATCCATTATTTTAAATGGGTAAAGTAATAATGCCATCCAGTCTCCAGTCAATTTCTCTTCCAATCACCAAAACACTTAAATACTAGCCCTGGCCGGTTTGGCTCAGAGGTTGGAGCGTCGGCCTGCGGTACAGAGAGACCCGGGTTCGGTTCCCGCTAAGGGCACGTACCTCGGTTGCAGTTTGTCCCCGGCCCTGGTTGGTCGTGCAGGTGGCAGCCACTCGATGTGTCCCTTCACGTCGATGTTTCTCTCTCTCTCTCTTCCTCTCTCTCCCTCCTGCTCTATCTGAACAAAAAATGGAAAAATGTCCTCGGGTGAGGAAAAAAAAACAAAAACAAACAAACACTTAAATACTAAATACTTCAATAAAAATCCACCAGGGGTTTCTGCACAACCAAAACATTCAATACATGAATTATCTAGTCATTTAAAAGTCCTTGGTTGTCCAGATGGCTTGGTGGTTGGGCATTGACCCATGTACTAAGAGGTCGCCGGTTCGAATCCTGGTCAGGGCACATGCCCAGGTTGTGGGCTGAATCCCCAGTGGGGTGTATGCAGGAGGTGGCCAATCAATGTTCTCATTTGTTCTCTCTAATCGATGTTTCTATCTCTTTCTCCCTCTCCCTTCCTCTCTCTCTCAAATCAATAAGAAAAAAAATTAAAAAGAAAAACAATGTGTGTGTGTGTGTGTGTGTGTAAAAGTCTTGGTATATGTGTATGTGTGTCTTATGTCTCAAAAAAGTACTCAGTGTAGGACAGTGCTACTCAAAGTGCTGGTCTGCAAACTGCTCCACGAAGAGATCCAGAACTTAACGCCAGAACGCAAAACTACTGTGTTTCTAAGCACACTGTTTAGTTTAGAGGACTCTTCTCATAGTGAAGTTAACAACGCTCTATACATTCTGGGGTAGGATTCTCATATCATCACAGACCAGTAAAACAAGTAGTTTCTGGAGTAGTTTTGGTTTATATTTTAAATAGCACGCTTGTTTAGGATATGAATTATGCTTTCCTTCTATACTGCAACAAATATGTACTATAAAAAAATAAATAGTCCTGGCTGGCTTGGCTCAGCAGTTAGAGTGTTGGCCTGTGGACTGAAGGGTCGCAGGTTCGATTCCCAGTCGGGGCAAGTACCCGGGTTGCAGGTTCAGTCCCTGGCCCCAGTTGAGATCATGTGGAGGCAACCAATGAATGTGAGTCTCTTTCTCCTCCTTATCCCCTTCCGTTCTATCTAAAAACCAATGGAAAAATATCCTTGGGTGAGGATTAAGCAAAAACAAAACAAAACAATAAAAAAGTGAAATAAAAATATTAAATACATATTATATGCATAAGTAGATACTGAAATATACTGTTCAAGACAGAATATTCCTGAGAATCGTCAGAGAAGGAAACACTGGGATACACCAAAAGCTAAACCTACAGTGACAATTTATCATCCCAACTGTGCTCATTTGAGAGTGAGGGAGGTGCTAGTAATTATTATGACAGTATAACAGGCATAACCTGGGACTTTGCCAGGAAAATTAGAACATATAGTCACCTTCACTAAAACTTTAAGCCAAGGGTGAAAAAGATGAGTTAATGCAAAGTAGAGATTATAATCCTGGCTGAAGAAGAGCTGATTCATGACAACATATCTCACTTTGCACTCATTGATGGAAAGTTTGTAATTTGGATGGTGAACTTTGGGTAAATTCCTGCAAGTTGTTATAGGTATCCATTGATGTCTTGCTGTGCTAGATATCCCAAACAATGTTGCTAATCTATGGTTGGCTAAAGAGTCACTTCTGTGGATGAGGTGGGGGAGTGGAATCCCATGTCTTTGCATCAATTTTCTCTGTAGTCTTTTTGAGGCTAAAAGCTGTCTTCTGTGGAACATGCTAGGTCTATCATAAGAGAGTCATTCTTCCAGATGAGACTTGGGAGTTTGAAGTAGGTGGGTGGGGAAAGAGCCTAATCACAGATGGCCCCTCATTTATCCATGTCTTTGAATAGGGCACTTTTTCAGTCATTAGGTGAATGTGAAGGAACACTTTGGAGGGAATAGATGATTAAGAGAACAGTTGCTCTTCAGGCTGAAAAAGGGAAGATGGGACAACCCAGTTTGGTAGAGTAAAACCTTTTGTAGAGGCCTCCAGGCAGAAGTGGATAAAGAGTGGGAAAAAGATGAGGGAAAGTGAGGCAAACACATTCAGGGCTAGTATGAGGAATAAATGTGATGTATGTAAGAGTACCTAATACATTCAGCCAGGCTGAATTTAATAACCAAATACTCTTTGATCATCATCTTGCACATATATAGAGAGGTAAAAACAGAAGAAAATCGCATGGCCGGTGTGACACCAAGAGGTTGCCGGTTTGATTTCCAGTCAGGGCACATACCCGGGTTGTGGGCCGAATCCTGAGTAGGAGGCATACAGAAGGTGGCTGATCGATGTTCTCTCTCATGGATGTTTCTATCTCTCTCTCCCTCTCTCTGGAATCAATAAAGGGAAAAAAAGAAAAAAACCCATAATAAAATCATAAATATTCTCATTCTCCATGAGGAAGACAATATTTCTTGAACATGCCATATACTGAATGAATCCTTGACATATTTTATCATTTACTCTTCATAAACATTTGGGTCTTTTTCACTCCACATTCTGGTACCACTTCCTTTAAAGTAAAATATAAAAAGTTGGCTCTGCCATCTTACCACTGCTGAGAGAATCTGCGCTCCCAGGACTGTGCTGCCTGGAGACCAGTTCGCTCCCTGTTTTCCTCATCTCTGTATTTTCGTTATACCGTCTTTTCCAGTAGTTGAGTTCTTCACGATCAGATTCCTGACAGCGCCGCAGAACTGCCATGGAGCGTCTTGTTTTTTCTACCATTTCCATGATACAGTTCAGGGCCTGAACCAGAGAGGGAGCCAGGCAGTGATGAGATGAGGACAAACACCCACGTTGAAAATCAAGGACAGGTAAGCAAAATATATAAAGAATGAAGGCTTAAATGTATTACAGATATAATAATATCAAGTGTACATTTTAAAGCCTTTCTAACTGCTTATTTTAAAATATACATATATATGTATATATAAATATCTGTACACACACACACACACATACACACACACACACAATTTAATTTATTTTCTGTTTGGATTTCAAAATAACACTTTGGATTCTTCAAGGTTGAAGCATCCAGAGTCTCATTTTAATATAGCCCTCTAAAGACTGGTGAAACCACATTATACATCTGCCTAAACACACCAAGGCATCTGATAGTGCTGGAGATTTACTAAGAATATTATTAGCCCCGTTTGGTGTTGCTCAGTGGTTAGAGCAATGGCCTGCGAACCAGAGTGTAGCAGGTTCGATTCCAGTCAAGGGCACGTACCTCGGTTGTGATTTGATCCCCGGCCTGGGTTGGGGTTGTGTGGGAGGCAACCCAATTGATTTGTTTCTCTCACATCGATGTCTGTCTGTCTCTCTCGCTCCCTCCCACTTTATCTGAAAATCAATGGAAAAAAATCCTCGAGGATTAAAAAAAAAAAAGGAATGTTATCAGAGAAATAACCCAGAGACCTTTTTTCAAAAAAAAAATCCTCATCTGAGGGCATTTTTGCCTTTAGCTTCAGGCAGAGTGGGAGGGAGAGAGGGAGGAAGAGAGAGAGAGAGAAACATCAATACGAGAGAAACACATTTACTAGTTGCCACCCACATGACCCCAACCAGGGCGGGGACAAACTGCAACCGAGGTACATGCCCCCAGCGGGAACCAAACCCGGGTCTTTCCAGTCCATGGGCTGATGCTCTAACCGCTGAGCCAATCAAGCCAGGGCCCAGAGACCACTTTTATCACTCAAGATGGAAAAAGCTACTCTCTATATATTTAATTAAGTACTACATCTTCTCTTCCCTTTTTAGTGAGAAGGGAAACCCTTTCTTACAATGAGACAGAACACTCTGGCTTACATTCTGTACTAGGATGCTAATTCTCATTTGTTTTTGGAGAAGCTTCATTTACAAAACACTATATACCAGGCCTTGTGATAAGCACCTTATGTATTATATTATTATAACCCTCCTGTGAATTCAAATACAGCATTCCATTTTTTAATCAAAGAAAGAATAGATTTTTAAAATTATAGTTGTCACACAATATTATATTCATTTCAAGGGTACAACATAATTATTCCACATTTATATACCTTACGAAGGGATTGCCATGATAAGTCTATTACCCATCTGACACTGCAAGGTTATTACAATATTATTAACTATATTTCCTATGGTGTACATTATATCCAAGTGACATTTATTTTATAATTGGAAGTCTGTAACTCTTGATCCCCTTCATGTTTTTCACCCACCCTCTAGTCCTATCTCTCCTCTCTGGAAAACATCAGTTTATTCTCTTTATCTATGGTCTGTTACTGTTAGGTACTGTTCATGCATTTGTTTTGTTATTTTCGATTCCACATGAGTGAAATCATATGGTATTTGTCTTTCTCTGACTTATTTTACTTAGCATAATACCTTAGCATAAGTCCATCTGTGTTTTTGCAAAGTGTAAGATTCACTATTTTTTATGGCTGAGTTTAAAATAAAGAATGAAAAAAAATTTTTTTTTAAGTTATAAAATTAAGTCTAAAAATGGTGAAGCAACTGACCCATCACACAAAGGTAAGAAGTAGCAAAGCTGGGATCTGAACCCACAAAATATCTGTTACATGACTTTACTTGGTTATGACTTGAAGTGATCACCCCATCACAAAGATTTGGGAGTTACTCTTAGCTCTCTAGCTAGGGGAATAGTAGATAAATTAGCTTGTATTGCAAGGACACTGTGGCTCTGGTTAAGTTCACTTGAAACATACATACTCTATTACTACTGGTGATATTAAGAATTAAAAGTACAAACAAATTAGGTTCAGAGGCAGGGATGCATGGAACAGAATGACAGATCTCAAAATGGGAGGAAGTGGAAGGGATGGGAAGAGATTAACCGAAGAACATATATGCACAGCCCATGGACACAAACAATAGTGTAGGGAAGGCCTGGGGTGGGGCAGGAGCTAGGTGGAGGGGGACAAAGTGGGGGAAGTGGGGAAACATCTGTAATACTGTCAACAATAAATTTGAAAAAATACCCATTTACCTGAAATTTTTTTAAAAATTAAAAGTAATAAATGATTAGGAAAATTACACACTATAAGATTCTTACATGATCAAGATGTTTCCATTCATCAGCCCATTCCCTTTCTGTCAAACGGTGGTCTACCAACTCATCTTGATAGCCTCCATTTAAACCTATTAGAAATTAGAGATTAAATTTGAAGATAGAGTGAAGAATGCAGCAAATAGAATTCTAGCAAGTAAACACAAACGTTCATACCAACTATGAGCACACTACAAAGGCAATGATTCACAACAGAGTGTGGGACCCATAAAATGAAATAAAACCAACCAAAAAAACTACTATTGAGAATATATTTAAAAACTTCGTCAAGTCGATTATGAGAGACAAAGCAAACAAAAGAATGACAGGCGTTTGTCACTTACTGAGATTGTGGTGTCTATCACGAACTTCTCGGTGTTCTATCATCTTGTTGGGTTCACGATACAAGTGGGAAGTTGCAATATCTTCTAAGGTGTAGTGCTGAAGAGGTGGAGGTGTAGGATGGAACTGCCCCCCAGGATTCATAAGGGGCACAGTAAGAGCAGGACTGTGCCGAGGAGCAGGGCTGATTGTACACACTCTTTTGGCAGGAGGCTCAGGAGGAATTGTCTCTCTTTCAAAACTGCTGTCTTCCCTCCTGTGTAAGAATGGGAAGTATATATTTGAGCCTGTCAACAAGTATTCATGCAAACATGTCCTTGAGCATCTACTTTGTGCTATGTATTGTGTTATGCACTTTCACAGATGGAAAGACCATAAGGAAAGGTTTGATGTAAGGCAGGAACTGAAATGTCTTAAAAAAGTCAGAGATAATGGAAATTGACGATTTATTCCAGCACGGAAAGAGAAGTCAAATTCATGCACAATAAGGCAGAACATCTAAAACTCATGAAGCAAAGTGAGAGACTAAGGAGATGATGGCATTTTCTTATATGATAAGAATATGGAGGATTACAGGTTCAACAATGTTTAGAAATTTTGCTACTGTGGAAGTCAGTTATTGCAAACAATTCCCCACACAGAAGAAAAAGGGCTCAGTAATTAATACACTAGTGAACTGGTAGGGCTTTTAAGTCATTTAGCTTCCATTGTAACAATTTTCTACTGTTATTAAATATTGCTTCCTTGACAAACTATAAAATATTGTGGTAAACATTCATACTGAAATTTCCAGAATTAGTTAATATAATTTCAGCATTCAAAGTAATGATGATTCATTAGCAAGTATCAATAATTAATTGTTGTACTTTTACAAAACCTCACACATCAGAAAAAATGCCTTGGGCAGATTGTTCCTTATGGTTCTGGAACAGTGGACACATAGAATGCCCTAGACCAGAGTTTCTCACTAGAGGCACACATATCTGAAGCATTTAAAAAAAAAAAATACTCATGTCTGGGAATTATACCTATAGATTTGAGAAGCATTCTGCTGTCAGATATTGGGACAAAGCAAAATTAACCTTAGAAATTATAAGTCCATACCTATATATAACCACCATAATCAAATTTTCTTTCATAAGCAAAGGGAAAGCTCAGAGTGGTTCCAGAAAAGAAAGAACAAACAGGCTCTTCTCTGCTCACCTCTCTGGACTGGGCCTCTTTCCATTTCCATGCACTTCCATGAGCAGCTCAGAAGAGTCAGCAGGTGACGCAATACTTGTGTTGAGCAGAAGGTGTTCATGCTGAGCCAGGTACTGGGATGGGGTCTGCTTGGCGGCCCGAGCGCAGTGCAGCAGTTCTCGCTGCAGCAGGGGCAGGTTGGCCTTGAAAAGAAGAGGTAGGGGCTGGAAGGCAGTTTTCCCTGTGTTGGGCCCCACACAACAGGGCCCAGCACCTCAAAAGGCTTTCACAAACAAGATGATGACACAAGACCAAAGCCCTTCTCTCTTTGCCAGTCTGATTTTTATATGCCACTATGAGTAAAAGTGATATCTATTATAGTGAACTTGAAATGACTGGTTGACGTATCTCTTGTCCCACAAAATGTAAATCCCCTTAAGGAAGAATATGTGCTTTATCTACCTTATGGCCTATTACAGAGTCAAACAAAGCTCAATAAAGGTTTGTTGAACATAATAATTTAAAAACTTACACATATTTTTGAAGACTTTGGTCACTTAGAGAATTAGCATGCCTGCATGGGAGTAGAAGGAATTCACTCTTTCATCAATCATTACAAAGCCTGGTTTCTCTCTTCTGAGTACTATTTAACCTTCCCTTCATGTTCTCTATGAGAACCACTATGGAATTCTGGAAATGGTGATTATTCTAGCTTGGCTGGAATGTGAAGTTTTAAAGAGTATTGGTAATGACTGGCATGAAGCCTCAGACTAGGCTCTGAGGATTCACAGATAATGCAAAATCGATTTCTTAGTGTGGCACCCTCATTAGGCACGTTTCCTTATTTTGTAAAAGGATAATTAATGATGTACTGATTCTTCTTCCTTCCCCTCAAACTGAGTAAACCTATAATGTAGACAATCATATAAAAAAAAAACCTATACTCTTTCAAATGAACTCTAATTCCTTCATGTATAAATGTACTTCCTCATATTCCTTCTACTTAAAAAATTAAAAATTATATTTTTCACCTCAAATTTAAAGACAGTTCAACCCTGGCCAGTGTGGCTGAGTTGGCTGAATGTTTTCCTATGCACCAAAGGTTGCTGGTTTAATTAATTCCTGGTCAGGCACAGGCCCAGGTTGTGGGCTTGATCCTTGGTGAGGTGTGTACAAGAGGCAGCTGACTGATGTTTCTCCTTTCTTTCTAAAAATCAATTAAAAAAATATAAAAAAAAACAAAATTCTGACTGAGCCCACAGCAGAAGTCTTTATTCCAATGAAAAAAGATGAGCAAGTGAGAGTTTTTATATATGCAAGTAATCATCCCTTTACCAAAGGTTAAATTAGCAGTCACCATAATTAGTGACTGTTTTAAAGCAGAAATAAACAGACAAAACCCCAAATGCTAGCCAAAAACCTGCCATAACAACCTACCTCATGTTGTTTTCCTAAATAACAGTTAAGAATAGGGAATTTGAGGCTATAAGACACTTTTTAAGTCTGTTCTATAACCTTAATCTTGTAGCAACTGTAAAAACTTAATTGAAAAAATACTATGCCAGATCTTTACATCTGTGACATGTATGTACCCTTTGTTGAATTAAAAAAAAAAAAGAACTAATTCTTTCCTAATTAACACATATTTCACAAATCCTTCATGATTCTGCAGTCTTGGAAGAAATAACTGTCTATACTAGCTCTGACACAGAGAAAACAGACCAAGATAGAACTAGCACAGCTGTTTAAGGGCTGAACAAGGCACCACAGCCTGTTCTGAGGGGCTGTCTCCAATGCTGTCAGAACAGAGCTGCAACACAGGCCGTACAACAGATGTCCAGGCGTTTTTGAGGAAATGAAGGTAAAGCAAAAGATAAGACGAACATATTTATTAGCCAGATATTTAGGCTTTGTGAGTTAAGAGGCATAATTGAAGATATGATGTGGATACTCATATATAAGATAGAAAACAAATGTCCAAATATTGTCTTGACAAAAGTCAAAATATAAAACAATTGAGTAGGTTTTTTTTGGTAATATCAGGCTAATGAAAAGAATGGAATTCATTTGGAAAGGAGTGGATTAAGGAAAGCAACTTAATTGGGGTTCAAAGGTAGTGTTCCCTATTACCAAATCAATTACCAATTCATTTGTAAATCCAATTATCTCCACGGCTGTATAAAAACCATGTGGTGGGCTGGATTTGGGTAGTAGGTATCTAAACTATGTGTAGTCTAGCCTGGCCAGTGTGGCTCAGTGGTTGAGCAGTCGACCTATGCACCAAGAAGCTGCTGGTTCAATTCCCAGTCAGGGCACATGCCCAGGTTGTGGGCCAAATCTTCTCCTGCATGCAGGAGGTGGCCAATTGATGATTTCTCTCATCGTTATTTCTATCTCTCTCTCCCTCTCTAATACCAATAAATAAAATGAAATAAAATAAATAAATTATGCCTGGTCTAGAGTACACTGGTATCTGACTATAGTCTTTCACTACCTTTAAGCTATCCATAATTGCATATTATAAATAACCGATAGCAATACAAAATAATTACTGTCTATAGACTTGCATAAAATTATGTCCAGTAGAGATTCAACTGACTTCTCTTGACCACTATAGACAAAGCCAATTATATCTCTGCCCATTCATATCAATAATCTTGATCTATAAATGTGTCTGTTCTTTGGGTTCTCCCCTGAACTGGTACTAACATCTTACTGATTCTCTCATTAATAATGAGTTAAATAAAATCTCTGACACAGCCCCGCCGGTGTGGGTCAGTGGTTGAGCAACGACCCATGTACCAGGAGGTCGCCTCATGCCTAGGTTGTGGGCCAAATCCCCAGCAAGGGGCATGCAGGAGGCAGCCAATCAATGTTCTCTCATCGATGTTTCTCTCTCTCTCTCTCTCTCTCCCTCTCTCTCTCTCTCAAATCAATAATGAAAAAAAAAGAAATCTTTGACACGGATTCACTTTTTTTCTGTTAGGAATAGTGATGTGATACCTGTTGATGAGTTGTTGTTTTTTAATGTTTTTTTTTTTTTATCCTCACCCGAGGACATTTTTCCATTTTTTGTACAGATAGGGTGGGAGGGAAAGAGAGGAAGAGAGAGAGAGAAACATCGATGTGAAAGGGACACATCGAGTGGCTGCCACCCGCACGACCAACCAGGGCCGGGGACAAACTGCAACCGAAGTACGTGCCCTTAGCGGGAACCGAACCCGGGTCTCTCCAGACCGTAGGCCGATGCTCTAACCGCTGAGCCAAACCGGCCAGGGCTGTTTTTTAATGTTTCTATTGGTATTTTTTAGAGAGAGAAAGATAGAAACATCGATGCGAGAAAGAAACATTCATTGGCTGCCTCCTGCACGCCTCGCACTGGGAATTGAGCCTGCAACCCAGACATGTGCCCTTACCAGGAATCGAACTGGGACCTCTCAGTCCATGGGATGTTGCTCAATCCACTGAGCCACAATGGCTGGGCTTAAGTTATTGTTTAATAGAAAAAATAGTAACTTTACAGTGGGAAAGCATGGCAGACATAGTCTTTACCAAATGATCAAAGTCAACATCACCAATTATCAGACGAATTAACATGTGTCTCCTGACAGCATCAGTTATCTTATCTGCTATTTACTGCTTAAAATGCATAACCTGGTTCTCATCATGAGGAATTATCAGAAAAATCCAAATTGAGGTACCTCTGTAAATTAACCATTTAGCACTCTTCAACAGTGTCAAGATCATAAAAGGCTGAGAAGTTATTATAGATTAAGTAGACCAAAGAGACATGACAATGAAATCCAAGATGTGATCCTGAATTATATTTTATAACACCAAAATAGAAAAAGGTTTTCTTTTGCTGTAAAGAATTTTAGTAGCACATTTGATGAAACATAAATAAGGTCTATAGTAACAATGTTTTGTCAATGTTAATATCTTTTTTTGTTTTTAATCCTCACTCGAGGATACTTTTATCCATTTTTATCTTCAGATAGAGTGGGAGGGAGGGGGAGAGAGAGAGAAAAAGAGAGGGAGAGGGGAGAGTGTGTGTGTGGGGGGGGAGGGGGGGAAGAGAAAGAAACATGGACTGGCTGCCTCCCACATAACTCCGACCAGGGCCAGGGACCGAACCGCAACTGAGGTACGTGCCCTTGATCGGTATTGAACCCGTGATTCTTTGGTCTGTGGGCTGACGCTCAACTGCTAAACTAAACCGGCCAGGGATATCAATGTTAATTTAATTTGATAATGATACTAAAGTGACTGTGATATGATGTATCATGTCGGCAGCTTACTCTTAAACATTTCTGAGGAAAAAAATAAATCTAAAGACAGAGAATAACAATCCAGATATGATAAAACATTAACATTTGGAGAATTTGAGTGAAGGATACAGAAATTGTCTTGTACCATTCTGCAAAACTTTTCTGTAAGCATGAAATTATTTCAAAGTAAAGATTTTTTTCCTTTATTTTAGAGAGAGAGGAAGAGAGAGGGAGAGAGAGAGAAACATCGATAAGAGAGAACATTGATTTGGCCACTTCCTGCATGCCCCCCACTGGAGGTCTTGGCCCCCAACCTGGGCATGTGCCCTGACCGGGAATTGAACTGGCGACATTTTGGTGCATGGGTTTATGCTCAGTCATTGAGCCACACTGGCCAGGCACAAAGTAAAGATTTTTTTAAAGGTCATATTACAGCCCTGGCCGGTTTGGCTCAGCGGTTGGAGCGTCGGCCTGCGGTACAGAGAGACCCAGGTTCGGTTCCCGCTAAGGGTATGTACCTCGGTTGCAGTTTGTCCCCGGCCCTGGTTGGTCGTGCGGGCGGCAGCCACTCAATGTGTCCCTTCACGTCGATGTTTCTCTCTCTCTCTCTTCCTCTCTCTCCCTCCCGCTCTATCTGAACAAAAAATGGAAAAATGTCCTCGGGTGAGGATTAAAAAAAAAAAAAAAAAAAAAAAAAAAAGGTCATATTACATATAAATCTAACAATCTTACTTAGCAGGTAAACAAAACCATTTTGAACTGTGTCCCCAAAAGTTATGTTTCAGGGAACATTAATTCCAGAGGACATAATTAGAAGCTGTACCAAACTAGGGACATATTGCCTTGCCACATGCTCTTCTGTCCTTAGGACAGTGATTTACAATTGGCGTGCAGTGGCACAATGGTGTGTTGCAGAATTTTAGAAATAAGCTTAAGTGTACCACGAGATGAAAAGGTTGAAAACTGCTGCCTTAGGGTAAGAGTCTGACAGCCTCCTCTCAGGTAACACACGCTTCACCCTCTGGCCACAACCACAAGATTTAGTGAATAGTTACTTCTGCTAAGAGCCCAGCCTCCATGCCATCCCTACACCTCTGGTCCACTCACCTCCTGTTCCACCCTCTACCCGCTCCTGTATGTTACCGTCAGAGGCTGCATATAGACCACAACCCAAGGCTTTTGCAGTTCTTATTAAATATGAGATTCACCTGCAGGCTGCACTCTAATTTTCTCTAGCAGCCCAAAGTAAAATAAAGATATGAAACTGTGCAAGCTGCCTTAATTTAGATCACAGAACAGGGTTCAGTAGCAGAGCTTGAGGAAATGTTAAAAAAAAAAAAAATTATATTAGACAATTATCTCATAAAAATTACCTTGAGGAATGGAATCACAAAAGGACGAAGAGGAAAGTTTGTAGCTTCTTGGAGCTTGCAATGGAATTCTTCAATTGTTACTGTTGAGTTCTGAAAGGAGAAACAACCCTGTTCAGCCTCTAAAACCAGACATTGTCCTTCTCATTTAAATCCTTTTTAAATCAAAAAGAAAAGTATAATCACAAGCATACTATTGTGATCTCAGATCATTCTCAAAGATTAATCAAATTTTTTCCTTTATAAAAGAAATTTGGCCTCCTTGATTTTCCTTTCTTTACCACCCCAAATCAACTTTCCTTCTATGCTCAGCAGCCTGGGTTACAGAATAGGGCACTGCCTTCCTTACAACCCAGGAAGATAGGCACTCAAGTCCCTGTACTGCAAGGTTCACTGCAAGTCACCTCAGGTACAGGAAACCAGGTTCACAATGTTTCCAGCTGAACAGATGCTGATCAGTCTAAAATGTCAACATAAAGACTCAACCCAGAGCCTTGTTTCTTCATAGGTTCTATCTCCTAGCATCAATTCCCCAAATCTTCTAAACTCAAACAAACAGAAAACATGTGTCTTCTGCCTTGAAGGGATGTTTTAAAATCAGAGCACCTCCAAACAGGCAGACTCCCATTGGTAGGTTAGTATTCCCAGAAAAGTTTTTAGCATTTCCTCTGTATTTTTTTCAAAAGTTTGACTTAAAACTAGTATTTTCAGCTCCTCTGCTAAAGGGAATGTACAAATAAAAATGTTTTCTTCAAAGTACACAAAATACTTTTATTTCCGTTCCCCCAAACACAGTATAATAACAAAACAGGTTTTAAAATAAACACAAAACTTGGTGTTAATCTGAACTCTTGCTCCCTTGAAAGAACAATTACCACTTCTGGGACTTTTACAAAATCAAGTATTCAAAAGATGTAACATGTATCACACAAATTACTCATCAATATCATATTGCTTAACAATAAAAAATAAATAAATAAAAAGGAAAACATAGAGGTCCACCAACAATAAAATGCATTAAAATTACAATATAGCCCTGTCTGGTGTAGCTCAGTGGTTAATAGTGTCTGTCCGAGTACCAGAAGGATCGTGGGTTTGATTCTTGGTCAAGGTTGCAGGTTTGAGGCAATCAACTGATGTATCTCTCACATGGATGTTTTTCTCTTTCTCTCTCTCCCTCCCACTCTCTCTAAAAATCAATGGAAAAAAAATATCCTCAGGTGAGGATTAATAAAAAATTTACAATATAGCCATACCTCAGAATACTTAATGGGAAGCAAATTTGTGTGAATCAATGAGAAAGGTATCTATAATTTATTGTTAAAGAAAAAACTCAGAAACAGAACAGCATGTTTCCCAAAAATCCATTTATGAAAATAATACACACATACACACAAACATAGTACTTTAACTATCTGGAAGGACAATCACAACAGCAGTTATTTCTGGATTTGAAATGGTTTTGGTTTTTCCAAATATATCATATCAATATTCAGTAAAAATAAAATGAACTCCCTTAAGGAAAAGAGTATATCAAATTTAATCATGCTAAATAAAAATATTCTGAACAGTTTACTACATTTTATACGAAAAAATTCTTTTAAACTTTTAGTATTTGTTTTAAGTACATGATATTTATATAATGCAACCAAAGGTACCAATAATCAGGAAAAAAATTAAGTGTAAGAGAATGATATTCTGTCCCTACCACAAGTGATTGTAATCAGGTCTCAAAAAGTGAAAATAAGTGGAGTAAATCTATGGAAAGACTGTACGAATGACTAAGTTTTTTTGTGGATGGACAAAGGAGAAAAAGAATGAACTGTGTGGCACAGAGAAATAGTGTCTTAGGCCAAACTGACTCAGGGCTATTAGTACTGTAGATGGAAGGCAATCCTCTGAGAGGGATGGTAAGCCACTGTTCCTTCTTTATCCTTCCTTCTCATTCAATTATTTAATAAATAACTGCATAGTCCTCCTCTCCCAAGAACTCATAGTCGAGGGTAGTGATTTTCAATATTTTGCATCTCATGGCACAAATAACTAATTCTTCAGCACACCAAAAATATATATATTTTGCCGATCTGACAAAAAAAATAGGTATTAATTTTGATTTATTCAAACGGAACAGTTATTTTTGTATTGGCTGTTGTCATTTTTTAAAGTTGGAAATCGAAGGGAAAAGAGGTCAGTGCCCCGACTAGTTAGGTATTGCATGTTTAAAAATTCTTGCGGCATACTGTTTAAAAATCGCTGGTCTAGTGGGAAAACAGTTAAGCTATTCATTACAGTATGATTGAGGTACACATGTGAAGAACACTGCTGGTACACAGAGAGGACACATTTGACTCAGACTTAGGAGGACAAGGAAGGATTATAGAAGTGTCATCTGAAGGAAGCTGCAGCCTGGGGAAAATGCTTCTAACAAAGAGGAGAATGTAAAAAGGAACAATGTTAGGGGATCTGGCCTCTGGATAGCAAAGGCAAGAAGACAATGGGTATAGATAGATAGGCGACCAGACAAAATTTTTATTCTTTAAAACTGAGATAATTATAATCACAGGAAGTTGTGAAAACAGAATTAATAGGTTCCTGTACATTCTGTACCCAGATTCCCACATGGTTACATTTTATATAGCTAAAGTACAATATCAAAACTAGGGAACTAAGACCGGTAAAATGTGTGTATAGTTCTACGCCATTTTATTACATTCATGTAACTCACCACTGTAATCAAAACACAAAAGTACAGAAATCTTATCTACCTTTATCCTCCCACTCCCAGGTTTAAAATATAATTGTTTATCATATTTCCCTTATATATACTGGCAATCATATTAGACAATGCTATAATTCTTGCTTTAACCACAACGCATAATTTAGAAAATTTAAGAGGAGAAGGAAAGACTATTGTATTTCCTCATATTTCTGCTCTTTCCATTTCATCCATCCTGATATCTTAAGATTCGATCTTCCACAGCAGGGTTGGTGAGGCCCCAGGCTGAGCAGACGACTCTACCTCCTCTACTGGGACCCTTTGATGGACGCTTGGCTATTTGCCTGACAGGCAGGTGTGGGGACCAAGTGTCGTGAATACAGGGTCTCTTTTGTACCAAATGGTGAGTTTTAAAAAAATTAGCCCAGCCGGTGTGGCTCAGTGGTTGAGCATCAACCCATGCACCAAGAGGCCACTGGTTTGATTCCCGGTCAAGGCACATGCCCAGGTGGTGGGCCAAAAGCCCAGTGGGGGCCATGCAGGATGCGTCTAATCAATGTTCTCTCTCATCAATGTTTCTCTCTCTCTCCCTCTCCCTTTCTGTCTCTTTAAAAATCAATAAAGAAAAAAATGTACCTGATATAACCTTTTTTTTTTTTTAAACATTTGGATGTGGCAGTGTAGTGGGTAAGATAGCAAGCAGGCTTTGATGTTAGAGCTCTCAGTTCAACTTCTGGCTGGACCACTGGCTGGCTAGCAGTGTGATTCTGAGGGAGAAATTTACCTGAGCCTGTTCCACCTTTAAGATGGGATGGAAGCTCTTCTATGGGGTTCCTGCCTGTAGAGTGTGTGAGGCCTGTCTGTAAGAGGCAGAGCAGTGATGCAGTGACGCAGTGACTCCCAATGTGGGGCCTGTCTCTGGTTATATTGCAAACTCCTAGACAGAAGGAACCAAGATCGAGTTCTTTTTTGTTGTTGTTGTTGTTAATCCTCATCCAAGGCTCTTTTCCACTGATTTTTAGATAGAGTGGAAGAGAGGGAGGGAGGGAGAGAGAATGAGAGTGACAGAGACAGAGACATCAATGTGAGAGAGACACATGGACTGGCTGACTCCCCCAGCTAGAGCCAGGGATCAAACCTACAACCCAGGAACCTCCAGTCCTTGTGACGGTCTAACCCCTGAGCCAAACGGGCCAAGGTCAAGATCATATTCTTCACATTGAGACAAAGCAGAAACTCAACATGGGAATCAGAAACCATCTTACTTGTCCCGCTTTCAGACAGGTTCACCTTAAAACCATTCTTCCAACCCAGTGTCTGGCTAAAGAGCTCCAGAGAAGTGGGTTCCGTGGTTCCTGATGACCCATTCCTGGGAGTTTTTCCTAAACCTCCATTTAGTGCTTTTAAACTTGTATGAACGATTCATACATGTAGAAAATGATCCTTAAGTCCACCATCACATGGATAATCACTTTTAATGCTGCAACGCAGTCTTCTTCTGGTATTTCTCTAAATTGCATGTGTGTTCTTTTTACAACATTGGTGTCCTACTGTATGTATGGTTTTTCTATCCAGCTTTTTCCACTTAACATTATTTTCTGTATCATTAAATATTTTTGAGAACGTCAGGAAAAAAAAAGATTCCTTCTTTTATTGTTTTCTTTCTGTTTCAGTAACTTCCTTTAGCTATTATTTTAGGGTAGGTTGGCTGGAGACAAACTGGCTTCCTTTACTTCATCTGAGAATATTTTGACCCACTCCATCCTTCATTACAGAATGATATTTTCGATAGATATAAAATTCTGGCTTAAGCCCTGGCCGGTTTGGCTCAGTGGTTAGAGCATCGGCCTGCGGTCCGGAGAGACCCGGGTTCGGTTCCAGCTAAGGGCATGTACCTTGGTTGCAGTTTGTCCCCGGCCCTGGCTGGTCGTGCGGGTGGCAGCCACTCGATGTGTCCCTTTCACGTCGATGTTTCTCTCTCTCTCTCTCTCTTCCTCTCTCTCCCTCCTACTCTATCTGTGCAAAAAGTGGAAAAATGTCCTCAGGTGAGGATAAAAAAATAAAAATAAAATTCTGGCCCTGGCCGGTTTGGCTCAGCGGTTAGAGCATCGGCCTGTGGTCCAGAGAGACCCGGGTTCGGTTCCCGCTAAGGGCATGTACTGCGGTTGCAGTTTGTCCCCGGCCCTGGTTGGTCGTGCGGGTGGCAGCCACTCAATGTGCCTCTTTCACGTCGATGTTTCTCTCTCTCTCTCTCTCTCTTCCTCTCTCTCCCTCCCACTCTATCTGTGCAAAAAATGGAAAAATGTCCTCGGGTGAGGATAAAAAAAAATAAAATTCTGGCTTAATAGTTCTTTTCTTTCAGCACTTGAAAAATGTG